TCGGGCGGCTCATTTGACGCACTTGCCCAAGCTAGTGCCATAGCGTGCAGCGTGAGGTGCCTATGAGCGCGAAGGGTGTGCAGTACACGGGCAGCTTTTGTGTTCCAGGAGTTCCTGGCCCCGCTGCTCCTGTGCGTGTAGCCACACGTGGGGTTGCAGGCGCGCAGACGGGACGGCTCCTGCCCACCGGCCAGGCTGGCGGCAAGGTTTAAAAACTTTAGACGACCAGCGTATGGAGCCCCCGACTAAAGGTCAAAAACCCCTGCCCTGGCGAGGCAGAGGAGTCATTTGACCTGGGCGAGGGTTTGGTGGTACGAGCCAGCATCATCGATTTCGCGCGCGCTTTGGTCATGGTGGATGCCGCAGATATCATTCCACACTTTGGCTACAGCAACCTGCAGGAAGTCACACTCCAAAGGGCCAACTGCGACCATGCGATGTGCTCGGCCTTGGAGAAACTGCGATTACAGGCCGGCAGTGCAAAAAGGCAGCAGCCGCAGCTGCGTTCAAGAAGCCTTGCGTTGTAACTAAAAGATGTCACGCGTAGCAAGTTATACACACTGCGCGCGCAGGCAAGCCAGAAGATGGGCATGGGCGACTGTACCGGAAAGGATGCTCCCAAGCTCGCGCTGGTGGCTCCACTCGAAGCTGAAGGCCGCCAGGGCTTGGCTTGCCGATACTTTGTGAACCCGGGGAGGTCCGAGATGCACCCAACCATCGCGATGACTGCTGCACAGGCAGTGGGCGCAGCGAGCTTGCTGCATGGCAGCGTTGCGATGAGCCTTGGAGGGCGTTGGGATTGGGGTAAGGTTTGATGTTTGACACCATTTGCGGGTATGTTTCTTCACTCCGTGGTCGTGCCGTCTTCCCAACCCAACAAGACGCCAACTCGATTTTGCTTGGCTGGCCTGCAAGCGGACTGCAGGAGAGCTGTGGGGCGACTTCCTCAATCGGATTCAGGCGCCGATGGGGCGAGCTTCACCTTCGAAATCCAGCATGAGAAAGGGAATTTTCCCGTGAGCATTGGCACTACAGATGCCAAAGATGCTGAGCCAATGCAAGCGGAACAGTTTGCCACAGGTTTGCCAGCAACTGGATTGTACGTGACCACAGTGATGCCTATCGCCCAAGGATCGGCCTTCCTCAAAGGTTCTAACTAGTTGAGGTTTGCGCTGATGGGTCGATGGGTGTCCGTGCTTTTGCTGCCGTACGTGCAGCAAGCACTTTGCATTTTTGCGATTTTGTGGCCGTTCTGGCCTAGGCCCGATTTGCTGCACAGCTTACCTATGGTCCGACATGGCTTGCGGACGGTGGCACAGATTGCCCTGGGGGGCAGTGACTTGTTTCAGGGTACAAAGTTGCAAATCCGTTGAATCTGTGCCATTGCTGGCTGCCAAAGGAACTGCTGAGAGGCCACTACAAAGACGGCGTGCGGTTCAGGCCGCCCAGCTGACACGGGTTTAACCCAGAGAGCCGACTGCCGCCGCATTTTGAGCGCGAATCCTTGGATTGCGTGCTTAATTTGGTGCACCCACAGCCGGAAGGCTTTGTGCATGCTAGGGCTAGGTGTGATTACAAAGATCACCGAGCCTGTAAAGAATTCACGCGTTTGTATGTCTCGTAGCAATCCTTGAGCTTCAACACGGGGTTTGCCTTTTGCCCCGCTTTTTGCGGAAGCATTGGGAGATAAATGGACCCCTTACAGAACGTGCTCATACTTCTGGTGGTCCTGTTCCAAACGAGGGGGGCCGAAAGGAAAACCCTGCTTCAACATGTTTGCTAAGCTTTGAGCACAGGAGAGTCTTGCTGCTTTGGCTGGGCGTTATTTCAGCTGCTTAGTTTGGCAACCGTTGTCTCGACCTTGCGCATTGGGTGAAATCGAGCCAAAGCAGTAGACCAATGATTTATCACGGGTTCGCTCGAGGGCCTTTGTCAAAAAGCTGCCCGGGTTGTTGAGGAGAGTGGTTGCCAGCAAAAGGCGGAGAGGAAGACAAGGAAGGCGGCAAGGTAACGAGGTAAGCAAGGCAAACAAGACGAGCAAGACAAGCAAGGCACATTGGCATGCAGGCAGGGAAGGACGGACCAAGGGCGGCTTGAACTCAAGCTCTTCACTGACAGCAATGTAGGAAAGCGAGGAATGCAAGTTAGTCGACGCTCAGCCCTGGGTGCAGATGCATCTTTTCTTGCCACAGGCATCATGATTTGCAAACGCGGGAAAATACTCAACTATTTGCAACGCAAAGGGATGTCGAGAGATGAATTCAGTGGCTTTAGTTGGTTTGTCGTTAAGCGCATTTTTCAAACATTGGGCAGAGCAGACATTTCACCGAGTCCACTGTCAAGCAAGTTCAGGAGCGGAGTTGAGCTGTTTGGAAGAGTGGGAGGCATGCCTATGCGCCGACTTGCTTGCTGAGTTTCGCTCCTTTAATTTGCTTAGTGCTGTGGGTGACTGACCCGCTGTGCATATATTTACTTCGAGCCCGGCTTCGACCTAGTTGCTATGCCTTTCGACACGCTGAGCCGCGTGCCCTTCGTCCTCAATCGCAGTGGGACATCTCGCGGGCTGTACCTCCTCGAGAAGCTTGGCAAGGTTTGAGTTTGTGCTGTAGCAGCCACACCAGAGTAAAACAGTTTCGACCTTGACTTGGCGCCCCACCGAGGAGTCTGAATGTGCTCAATGGTTTTGGAGCGTTCTTGACGGGCAAGACGCCCTTTCGATATGCAAGGATGGTCCCCACGTTGCTTTAGAAAGAGTCAATTTTGTCCCCACCCAGTTTCCAGATCTGACCGGATTTCAAGCTGATGACTCGTCACCTTTTTACACCCATCCAAATGCGTCTTGTGCATGTCGTCTCTTTGGGCGGAGGCCCATGGCGGGAGGAGTAGCAGAAATGCCAGCGCATTAAGACTTTCCACATGTTGACTTGTTTGCAATGCCTCCACTCAGACCTGGATAACTGGATAAGCTTGCAGGAAGGACGTGCCGAGCATTGGCCCTGCCCGCAATGCGGTGCTCAGCGAGCTGATGGGCAGCGGTCACCCCCAGCAGATCGGCGGCTTCGGAGGAGGATGCGGGCCAACCAGCAAGGTCGCCATTGTGGGCCCGCACAAGGAGAGGGAGATGCAGGGAACTGGCCCAAATCGCGACACATGCCAGAAGCTATCCAAGAGACAAGCGTTGGTCCCCAGGGGTTGCAGCCTGCTCAGAAGAGCATGACATTAAATTATTTTGTTTCAAACGCGGTGTGCAAAGAAGGCAGTGGGAGTTGTAAGTTGAATGAGACAAACCTTTGGATGGTGAATGAAATTAAAACCTGTATTTTCTGAAGAAATGATGAGATTTAACATCCCTGGACTTGCCCTTGTTGGTGAGTGCTTCCTGCAAGATAGCACACAGAAACGGGGCCTTGTTGCGCGCATGTCGCTTGAGATAAACTATCAGGTGCTTTTTGTGGCGCCGCCCATTTGCGAAGCAACATGCTAGGTCTATCGGGGTGGCTTGCCCGGATTGAACACTGCTGGGGGTGAGTCGCGTACCGGGGGCACCATCCCTGACAAGGAGGTACCCAACGTGGTGGCAGTCTCAAATCGCCCTGGATCTGTTTCTCAACTAGAATCTGATGTCTTGATGTATGACACTTGTTAAGTCTGTGGCAAATAGAGCGTGTGAGCGCAGTGAGGTCTTTTCTATGGCGAGTATGATCTCTATGATAGAAAAGTAGGCCTTGAGCCAATATGTATACGAGATACAAACTGATTGCTCGTTTGCAAAGCAGAGAAGGGGATTGGGGGTGCTCACACACATCCTCCCTCAATCACCTGTCGCAATGAGGGGCGGGGTGGGGGATGCTGACACACAAACACACTTCGTTTGTCGACCCCCGCCCCCTCTGCTGACACACAAAACACACAATGATGGAAGATGTAGCGGGCACGCCTGCCTACGTGTCCTGAAGGCACTATGCGCAGTAACGAAAACTTGACTGCCTCGAACCGCAAAAGCCCGGTCTTCCGGGCAACCCCTCCCCCCCCCCCCCGATAAAGCCAACATGCCGCTCTCAATGTTCCAAGCGGCGTTGGAGTCAATTGCCAGATATTTGTTTTGCCGGGCCTGGGCCACGCTGAGGCTACGGTTTAATCCTTTGTTTTGTTTTTTTGTCGGGCAGCTTGCGCAAGGAGCCAGGTTGGGTCACCTGCTACTTTTCCCAATGCGGAGTGACAATTGCAGATGTGGACACTTCGGCCGGTGACTGCGGCAACATCCTTGCTGCTGTCGGCGGCTTCGCCATAGAAAACAATTTGGTTGCAGCAGAAACAGGCGCTGCCGCCTGAGTTGGCCTTGCAAACTTGGCACATTGTATCTGGTAGCTGGTAACTGGTAACTGGTAGTGGCCTGCAACGGCCGTTTCCAGATGTCCAATGTCCAACGTGTCGCATGTTCCATGCGTTCCGTAAGCTCCTTACATAAAGGTGGCGTTTTGCAACAAGTTGACAGCTCGTGTCAGGTGACAAGACCCGAGTGAAGGTCCAGAGCCTCAACACAGGTGCACGCTACGAAGTCGATGTGGCTCGGCTCGCAATGCGAGGCCGATGGCTGAGGGTCAGGGTGTGACCGGTTTGAGTCAGTGGTGTGCCGCAAGAGCATCCTGCGGCTTTGTTCACACTCTTCAGGCAGTCGGGCGGCTCATTTGACGCACTTGCCCAAGCTAGTGCCATAGCGTGCAGCGTGAGGTGCCTATGAGCGCGAAGGGTGTGCAGTACACGGGCAGCTTTTGTGTTCCAGGAGTTCCTGGCCCCGCTGCTCCTGTGCGTGTAGCCACACGTGGTGTTGCAGGCGCGCAGACGGGACGGCTCCTGCCCACCGGCCAGGCTGGCGGCAAGGTTTAAAAACTTTAGACGACCAGCGTATGGAGCCCCCGACTAAAGGTCAAAAACCCCTGCCCTGGCGAGGCAGAGGAGTCATTTGACCTGGGCGAGGGTTTGGTGGTACGAGCCAGCATCATCGATTTCGCGCGCGCTTTGGTCATGGTGGATGCCACAGATATCATTCCACACTTTGGCTACAGCAACCTGCAGGAAGTCACACTCCAAAGGGCCAACTGCGACCATGCGATGTGCTCGGCCTTGGAGAAACTGCGATTACAGGCCGGCAGTGCAAAAAGGCAGCAGCCGCAGCTGCGTTCAAGAAGCCTTGCGTTGTAGCTAAAAGATGTCACGCGTAGCAAGTTATACACACTGCGCGCGCAGGCAAGCCAGAAGATGGGCATGGGCGACTGTACCGGAAAGGATGCTCCCAAGCTCGCGCTGGTGGCTCCACTCGAAGCTGAAGGCCGCCAGGGCTTGGCTTGCCGATACTTTGTGAACCCGGGGAGGTCCGAGATGCACCCAACCATCGCGATGACTGCTGCACAGGCAGTGGGCGCAGCGAGCTTGCTGCATGGCAGCGTTGCGATGAGCCTTGGTGGGCGTTGGGATTGGGGTAAGGTTTGATGTTTGACACCATTTGCGGGCTTGTTTCTTCACTCCGTGGTTGTGCTGTGTTCCCAACCCAACAAGACGCTAACTCGATCTTGCTTGGCTGGCCTGCAAGCGGACTGCAGGAGAGCTGTGGGGCGACTTCCTCAATCGGATTCAGGCGCCGATGGGGCGAGCTTCACCTTCGAAATCCAGCATGAGAAAGGGAACTTTCCCGTGAGCATCGGCACTACAGATGCCAAAGATGCTGAGCCAATGCAAGCGGAACAGTTTGCCACAGGTTTGCCAGCAACTGGATTATACGTGACCACAGTTATGCCTATCGCCCAAGGATCGGCCTTCCTCAAAGGTTCTAACTAGTTGAGGTTTGCGCTGATGGGTCGATGGGTGTCCGTGCTTTTGCTGCCGTACGTGCAGCAAGCACTTTGCAGTTTTGCGATTTTGTGAACGTTCTGGCCTAGGCCCGATTTGCTGCACAGCTTACCTATGGTCCGACATGGCTCGCGGACAGTGGCACAGATTGCCCTGGTGAGCTGTGACTTGTTTCAGCCGCTGGATGTTACAAAGTTGCAAATCCGCTGAATCTGTGCCATTGCCGGCTGCTACAGGAGCTGCTGAGGGCCATTACAAAGACGGCGTGCGGTTCAGGCCGCCTAGCTGACATGGGTTTAACCCAGTCGTCCACCAGAGAGCCGACTGCCGCCGCATTTTGAGCGCGAATCCTTGGATTGCGTGCTTAATTCTGTGCACCCACAGCCGGAAGGCTTTGTGCATGCTAGGGCTAGGTGTGATTACAAAGATCACCGAGCCTGTAAAGAATTCACGCGTTTGTATGTCTCGTAGCAATCCTTGAGCTTCAACAAGGGGTTTGCCTCTTGCCCCTCTTTTTGCGGAAGCATTGGGAGACAAATGGACCCCTTACAGAACGTGTTCACGCTTCTGGTGGTCCTGTTCCAAACGAGGGGGGCCGAAAGGAAAACCCTGCTTCAACATGTTTGCTAGGCTTTGAGCACAGGAGAGTCTTGCGCTGCTTTGGCTGGGCGTTATTCCAGATGCTTAGTTTGGCAACCGTTGTCTCGACCTTGCGCATTGGGTGAAATCGAGCCAAAGCAGTAGACCAATGATTTATCACGGGTTCGCTCGAGGGCCTTTGTCAAAAAGCTGCCCGGGTTGTTGAGGAGAGTGGTTGCCAGCAAAAGGCGGAGAGGAAGACAAGGAAGGCGGCAAGGTAACGAGGTAAGCAAGGCAAACAAGACGAGCAAGACAAGCAAGGCACATTGGCATGCAGGCAGGGAAGGACGGACCAAGGGCGGCTTGAACTGACAGCAATGTAGGAAAGCGAGGAATGCAGGTTCGTCGACGCTCAGCCCTGGGTGCAAATGCATCTTTTCTTGCCATATAGGTACCATAATTTGCAAATGCGGGAGAATACTCAACTATTTGCAACGCAAAGGGATGTCGAGAGATGAATTCAGTGGCTTTAGTTGGTTTGTCGTTAAGCGCATTTCTCAATCATTGGGCAGAGCAGACATTTCACCGAGTCCACAGTCAAGCAAGTTCAGGAGCGGAGTTGAGCTGTTTGGAAGAGTGGGAGGCGTGCCTATGCGTCGACTTGCTTGCTGAGTTTGGCTCCTTTAATTTGCTTAGTGCTGTGGGTGACTGACCCGCTGTGCATATATTTACTTCGAGCCCGGCTTCGACCTAGTTGCTATGCCTTTCGACACGCTGAGCCGCATCCCCTTCGTCCTCAATCGCAGCGGGACATCTCGCGGGCTGTACCTCCTCGAGAAGCTTGGCAAGGTTTGAGGTTGTGCTTGTAGCAGCCACACCAGAGTAAAACAGTTTCGACCTTGACTTGGCGCCCCACCGAGGAGTCTGAATGTGCTCAATGGTTTTGGAGCGTTCTTGACGGGCAAGACGCCCTTTCGATATGCAAGGATGGTCCCCACGTTGCTTTAGAAAGAGTCAATTTTGTCCCCACCCAGTTTCCAGATCTGACCGGATTTCAAGCTGATGACTCGTCACCTTTTTACACCCATCCAAATGCGTCTTGTGCATGTCGTCTCTTTGGGCGGAGGCCCATGGCGGGAGGAGTAGCAGAAATGCCAGCGCATTAAGACTTTCCACATGTTGACTTGTTTGCAATGCCTCCACTCAGACCTGGATAACTGGATAAGCTTGCAGGAAGGACGTGCCGAGCATTGGCCCTGCCCGCAATGCGGTGCTCAGCGAGCTGATGGGCAGCGGTCACCCCCAGCAGATCGGCGGCTTCGGAGGTGGATGCGGGCCAACCAGCAAGGTCGCCATTGTGGGCCCGCACAAGGAGAGGGAGATGCAGGGAACTGGCCCAAATCGCGACACATGCCAGAAGCTATCCAAGAGACAAGCGTTGGTCCCCAGGGGTTGCAGCCTGCTCAGAAGAGCATGACATTAAATTATTTTGTTTCAAACGCGGTGTGCAAAGAAGGCAGTGGGAGTTGTAAGTTGAATGAGACAAACCTTTGGATGGTGAATGAAATTTAAACCTGTATTTTCTGAAGAAATGATGAGATTTAACATCCCTGGACTTGCCCTTGTTGGTGAGTGCTTCCTGCAAGATAGCACACAGAAACGGGGCCTTGTTGCGCGCATGTCGCTTGAGATAAACTATCAGGTGCTTTTTGTGGCGCCGCCCATTTGCGAAGCAACATGCTAGGTCTATCGGGGTGGCTTGCCCGGATTGAACACTGCTGGGTGGTTTAGTCGGGGGGTGGGGCAGTGGGGGGTGAGTCGCGTACCGGGGGCACCATCCCTGACAAGGAGGTACCCAACGTGGTGGCAGTCTCAAATGGCCCTGGATCTGTTTCTCAACTAGAATCTGATGTCTTGATGTATGACACTTGTTAAGTCTGTGGCAAATAGAGCGTGTGAGCGCAGTGAGGTCTTTTCTATGGTGAGTATGATCTCTGTGGTAGAAAAGCGGGCCTTAAGCCAATATGTATACGTGATACAAAGTGATTGCCCGAAGGTCAATCGTCTGCAAAACACAGAAGGGGATTGGGGGTGCTCACACACATCCTCCCTCAATCACCTGTCGCAATGAGGGGCGGGGTGGATGCTCACACAAACACACTTCGTTTGTCGACCCCCGCCCCCTCTGCTGACACACAAAACACACAATGATGGAAGATGTAGCGGGCACGGCTGCCTACGTGTCCTGAAGGCACTATGCACAGGAACGAAAACTTGACTGCCTCGAACCGCAAAAGCCCGGTCTTCCGGGCAACCCCTCCCCCCCCCCGATAAAGCCAACATGCCGTTCTCAATGTTCCAAGCGGCGTTGGAGTTAATTGCCAGATATTTGTTTTGCCGGGCCTGGGCCACGCTGAGGCTACGGTTTAATCATTTGTTTTGTTTTTTTGTCGGGCAGCTTGCGCAAGGAGCCAGGTTGGGTCACCTGCTACTTTTCCCAATGCGGAGTGACAATTGCAGATGTGGACACTTCGGCCGGTGACTGCGGCAACATCCTTGCTGCTGTCGGCGGCTTCGCCATAGAAAGCAATTTGGTTGCAGCAGAAACAGGCGCTGCCGCCTGAGTTGGCCTTCAAACTTGGCACATTGTATCTGGTAGCTGGTAACTGGTAACTGGTAGTGGCCTGCAACGGCCGTTTCCAGATGTCCAATGTCCAACGTCCAACGTGTCGCATGTTCCATGCGTTCCGTAAGCTCCTTACATAAAGGTTGCGTTTTGCAACAAGTTGACAGCTCGTGTCAGGTGACAAGACCCGAGTGAAGGTCGAGAGCCTCAACACAGGTGCACGCTACGAAGTCGATGTGGCTCGGCTCGCAATGCGAGGGCCGATGGCTGAGGGTCAGGGTGTGACCGGTTTGAGTCAGTGGTGTGCCGCAAGAGCATCCTGCGGCTTTGTTCACACTCTTCAGGCAGTCGGCTCATTTGACGCACTTGCCCAGGCTAGTGCCATAGCGTGCAGCGTGAGGTGCCTATGAGCGCGAAGGGAGTGCAGTACACGGGCAGCTTTTGTGTTCCAGGAGTTCCTGGCCCCGCTGCTCCTGTGCGTGTAGCCACCCGTGGAGTTGCAGGTGCGCAAACGGGCCGGCTCCTGCCCACCGGCCAGGCTGGCGGCAAGGTTTAAAAACTTTAGACGACCAGCGTATGGAGCCCCCAACTAAAGGCCAAAAACCCGTGCCCTGGCGAGGCAGAGGAGTCATTCGACCTGGGCGCGGGTTTGGTGGTACGAGCCAGCATCATCGATTTTGCGCGCGCTTTGGTCATGGTGGATGCCACAGATATCATTCCACACTTTGGCTACAGCAACCTGCAGGAAGTCACACTCCAAAGAGCCAACTGCGACCATGCGATGTGCTCGGCCTTGGAGAAACTGCGATTACAGGCCGCAGCTGCTTTCAAGAAGCCTTGCGTTGTAACTAAAAGATGTCACGCGTAGCAAGTTATACACACTGCGCGCGCAGGCAAGCCAGAAGATGGGCATGGGCGACTGTACCGGAAAGGATGCTCCCAAGCTCGCGCTGGTGGCTCCACTCGAAGCTGAAGGCCGCCAGGGCTTGGCTTGCCGATACTTTGTGAACCCGGGGAGGTCCGAGATGCACCCAACCATCGCGATGACTGCTGCACAGGCAGTGGGCGCAGCGAGCTTGCTGCATGGCAGCGTTGCGATGAGCCTTGGAGGGCGTTGGGATTGGGGTAAGGTTTGATGTTTGACACCATTTGCGGCTTGTTTCTTCACTCCGTGGTTGTGCTGCCAACCCAACAAGACGCTAACTCGATCTTGCTTGGCTGGCCTGCAAGCAGACTGCAGGAGAGCTGTGGGGCAACTTCCTCAATCGGATTCAGGCGCCGATCGGGGGACCCCTTTCATAATGTATGCCCAGTGGGGGGGGGGGGAATGTATGTAATACATTTTCCACGTTTGCCGCCCCAAGATTCTTAAGCGCTTTGCCAAGGCTGAGAACCTAAGAAAGCGACATACAGTCACAGCCTTATGGAAGGCAGGCACAATTGTAGGTAGACAGAAGAAAATGGCTGCAAATGGACCTGGAAGGGTCCGCGAGTTTGCGGCTCAGTGTTGGAATGCTTTCAAATTACTGAAGGTGTTGCGCGATTCTAGAGGCCCATGTGCCAGCAATCCGCATCACGCATTCCGGCAGCAGCCCGAGAACGGGCTTTGCCAAAAACATGTCCTAGAACTCGTACGGAGTGTTGAAGCGGGCATGTAGCTGAGCAAGCTTGTCAAGGGCTGTCACTCGCTCCATCTTGTGCTACCAGGGCTTGATGGAGGCGATGGTGTCCGATTCCTTGATTGTGAGACTCTTCAGCTGCTCAACAGGCGCTGATCTTTGCGCGGACCACGTGGACAAAGCCCAGGGACATATCCGCCAACTTTGTCAAGGTTGCTTCAAGTGGCTGGCCCTGGCCTACGTTACTTCAACACCCACTACAATTGTCTCTCCAATTAGGCCCCCCCCCCCCGGCGTTCAACAGCTCTAGCTCCTGCATCGCACACGTGTAAAAGCACGCGCCTCCGAGAGGGCCCAAGATTTGAAAGTGTGATGAGGGTCAAACTTCCAGCTCGCTTCGAAGTCAACGCTGGGATTGCTTCGGGGGAAGCACCGCGCGCCTTGTTTGGAAGCTTGTCAGTCTTGCTGACGCCACCGTCTTCTGGGGCATCGTGTCGCTCACCTCGGTCTCTTCTTTGAGAAGTAAGTGCGGGCCCTATCTACTTGCTAAGTGGTTTACGACCGTCGCTCGTATAGTATAGGGCTTGCTGCATTTTGCTTTGAGTAGGGCCGCCCTGAAGACAAAGTACGTGTTTTCACTGCTTTCAAGTGACGCTGAATCAACGCACTGCCGGATATGAGCCCTAGGAAGCATTCGTTCGAAAGGAGTAGTGGTGTTTAGCTCAAGCAAGCGCATCGTCGCAGCGCCATGCTGAAGGGCACGAGCTTTTCGCCGTAAGCGAGGCGCAACAGAACTCAGCTGGGCCCCTGTGATCACTTCCTGCTCCGGCCAAGGTTCAAGTCGATCCATACCCCCCCGTGGCGATCGTGGGTTCTGAGATACATGGAGCCCTCACTAAGCATGGAAAATCCTGGCAAACAAGCTGGCTTACCCAGAGCAATTGGAGCAATGCGTTGCTATCCACTACGTCAGACCGATAGCCGCAGGCTTTCGAAAATTCCAGCAGGGGAGTGCTGATGAGAAAGCCTGTGTGGGAGAGAGCTAGCTGATTGATTGTGCCGCCCAGCAGTCCCAGCGCTGCGATTTAGATACATTCGTTGCAAAGAAGGCCGCCGGCATCGCGAGGAGCTAGCTGAAATGGAAGGGCGACGAGTGTCGGATTCGTTGCTGTCGGGATCGCAGAGGTGTGAGAACATCGAACCGGGGCAGGGGTGCCTCTAAATATTTTGAGAAGAGCAAACAGATAGCAAGCAGCGCGCCTTAGCGTATGCACTCATTGTGCTCCAGGGGTTCGCGATGCTGTTGATGCCAGTGTGTGGATCGAGTCCGCGCGACAAATTTGCTAATTCGTCAGAGCGAAAATCAGCTAGACTTCATTGCTGGTAATGCGAATTAGCTAATTCGACAGAGCGAATATCATCTAGACTTCATGCTGGTAATGCTGGTGATGCTGGCGATGCCGGTGACGCACTCCGTAGATCAAGGCGACGGGTGTCCGTGCGACGAATTTGCTAATTCGTCAGAGCGAAAATCAGCTAGACTTCATTGCTGGTAATGCGAATTAGCTTTACCTCGCCAGAGCGAATCTCAGCTAGACTTTATTGCTGATAATGCTGGTGATGGTGGCGATGCCGGTGATGCACTCCGTAGATCGAGGCGACGGGTGTCCGCGCGACGAATTAGCTAATTCGTCAGAGCGAAAATCAGCTAGACGTCATTGCTGGTAATGCTGGCGATGCCGGTGACGCACTCGGTAGAGGAAGGCGACAGGTGTCCGTGCGACGAATTAGCTAATTCGTCAGAGCGAGAATCAGCTAGACGTCATTGCTGGTGATGCTGGCGATGCCAGTGATGCCGTCTGTAGATCGAGATGACGGCCGTCCGTGCGACGAATTAAGTAATTCGACAGAGCGAATACGCTGCTTGGCTTGGTGTAGGTATCAGACGCTGCCACTGCGCCGCTCCCACGAGTCCTGGAAAAGCCTTGGCTAGTTCCCAGCCCCAAGCGTTTTCAGGGGTCACTTGTTCTGACGCCCGGCGGGCATAAGAACAAGTGGGGGCCAACCGGAACAAGTGACCTGGTCACTTGTTCGCTAAAGTGCCTACTTGTTCTTAAGCCCGCCGGGCGTAAGAACAAGTGACCCCTGACGCAACAATGGCTTTAGCCGCGAAAAAAGGCAGCCACTGACAAAACACAAATTAGAAACTCTATTGCAGAACGCCCAAATCACAAAAAAATGCAGCCCGACCAAGCAAGCCAGTGACAGGCCCAGGAAAAACTCTACAACAAATTGGCACCCACACACAACAACCAAATTAGAAGCCCTAGTTAAAAAAGGCCACTTCACGAGAATCATCAGCCAGACCAGTAGGCCAGTGCCAGGCCTTGAAAAAATCCAGCTGCGCAAAATACACGGCGAACAAAATAGAATCTTTACATAAAAAAAACCAACTTCACGGAAATCATCAGCCCGACAAGTAGGCCAGTGACAGGCCCTGACAAAAATCCAGCTACGCAAAAAAAAGGCGGCAACCCCACGCAAAAAAAAACTAATTAGAAGCTCTGCTAAAAACTCCCACTTCACGAGAATCATCAGCCAGACAAGTAGGCCAGTGCCAGGCCCTGAAAACAATCCAGCTGCCCAAAATAAACGGTGGACAAATTCAAAACAGTCGCTCTACCTAAAAAATAAGCTCAGGTGACATCCCCAACAGCATGCGGTGCTCTTTTTAGTGCGCGCACCACCCCGCACCCCTCGCAGAACCTTGCGGAGCCCTGATAGAACCCTGCTAAACGCTCGTGGAACCTCATGTCAGGGCCGTCCGGGACCACCCCGGAGCCTATCTGGGCTGAGACCCCAAAGCTTTCAGCTGTTAAAGAAAAACCAACTTCACGAAAATCATCAGCCCAACAAGTAGGCCAGTGACAGGCCCTGACAAATATCCAGCTGGACAAAGAAAGGCGGTAACACAGACAACATGCAAATTAGAAGTGCTACTCAGAACACCCTGCTTCAGGAAAAGGTCGGCTGGCGGGGTCGGGGCCCGACTGCTGGCGGGGTCGGGGCCCGACTGCTGGCGGGGTCGGGGCCCGACAGCACGCGCAGTTTCCTTTGCGACCGGGCGCTGAAATGTAACCTACACAGGTGGCTGCAAAGGACATCAAGAAACAAGACACGTTTCAATCATATTCCTTAGTCTCCTGCTCCCGTGCTGTGCCGCCCTTTTTTGCGCGGCTTGATTTTTTACAGGGCTGTCACTGGGCTGCTTGGTCGGGCTGCTGCTTTTTGTCAAGGTAGAGCTTCTAATTCGCTTGTGTGTGGCTGCCTTTCTTTTGTGCAGATTGAGTTGTTCAGGGCCTGTGGTCGGGCCCCAACTCCGTCGGCGGTCGGGCCCCGACCCCGTCGGCGGTCGGGCCCCGACCCCTCCGGCGGTCGGGCCCCGACCGCGTTGCCGGTCGGGCCCCGACCCCGTCGCCGGTCGGGCCGGCGGTCGGGCCCCGACCCCGTCGCCGGTCGGGCCATGACCCCCTCGGCGGTCGCCCCTTCAATGGTTCTAATTTGCTTGTTGTTTGTAGCTGCCGCCGTGTTTTTGCAGCTAGCTTTTGTTTAGGGCCTGTCACTGGCCCGGGCTGATGCTTTTCGTGAAATGTGATGCTTTTAGCATAGGGCTTCCAATTTGCTTGTTGTGTGTGGCTGCCTTTTTTGCGAAGTTGTTTTTCAGGGCCTGCTAGTTGTTTGCTTGGTCGGGGCTGCTGCTCTTCGTCCAGTGGGATGTTTTTAGTGGGGCTTCTGGATTTTTTGTACGCGGCTTGTTTTCAGGTCCTGTCACTGGTCTGCTTGTTCGGGCAGCTGTTTTTTGTCAACTGTTTGTTGGCAAGTAGAGCCTCTAATTTGTTTGTTGTGTGTCGCTGCGCTTTGTGTTTTTGCAGTTTGTTTTTGTTTCGGGCTTGTCACTAACCCACTTGATTGTTTCTTGATTGTGTTTTTTTTTTTGCGCGGTTAGATTTATTTCGCCGTTTACTAGTCTGCTTGGTCGGGCTGCTGCTTTCTTAAAATTGTTTTTTTGGCGTAGGGTGTCTAATTTGCTTGTTGTGCGTGGCTGCCGTTTTGTTGCGCTAGCTGTGTTTTTTTCAGGCCCTAGCGCTGGCCGGCTGGGTCGGCCGGCTGCTTTTCGTGAAGTGAGATCTTGTTTGTAGGGCTTGTAATTTTTTTTTGTGTGTGGCCCCCGTTGTTTTTTGCGAAGCTTGTTTCTTTCAGGGCCTACTTGTCGGGCTGATCACTTGCGTGAAGTGGGACGTCTTTCAGGAGGGCTCCTAATTTGCTTGTTGTGTGTGGGCGCCGTTTCTTTTTGCGCAGCTGGAGTTTTTCAGGGTCTGCCATGGGCCTGCTTGGCTTTGGTCTCTTGCTGATGTTTGGGGCAAAACCCAGCAAAAGCGGAGTTTTATGTATATTGGGGGGGGTGCGGTAGGATTGTGGTCGCAGCTTAAATGTATATGTGGGGGTCCCCCCTCCCCCCTACATAGGGGTCCCTCGGCGCCGATGGGGCGAGCTTCACCTTCGAAATCCAGCATGAGAAAGGGAACTTTCCCGTGAGCATCGGCACTACAGATGCCAAAGGTGCTGAGCCAATGCAAGCGGAACAGTTTGCCACAGGTTTGCCAGCAACTGGATTGTACGTGACCACAGTTATGCCTATCGCCCAAGGATCGGCCTTCCTCAAAGGTTCTAACTAGTTGAGGTTTGCGCCGATGGGTCGATGGGTGTCCGTGCTTTTGCTGCCGTACGTGCAGCAAGCACTTTGCATTTTTGCGATTTTGTGGCCATTCTGGCCTAGGCCCGATTTGCTGCACAGCTTACCTATGGTCCGACATGGCTTGCGGACGGTGGCACAGATTGCCCTGGGGGGCAGTGACTTGTTTCAGGGTACAAAGTTGCAAATCCACTACAAAGACGGCGTGCGGTTCAGGCCGCGTAGCTGACACGGGTTTAACCCAGAGAGCCGACTGCCGCCGCATTTTGAGCGCGAATCCTTGGATTGCGTGCTTAATTTTGTGCACCCACAGCCGGAAGGCTTTGTGCATGCTAGGGCTAGGTGTGATTACAAAGATCACCGAGCCTGTAAAGAGTTCACGCGTTTGTATGTCTCGTAGCAATCCTTGAGCTTCAACACGGGGTTTGCCTTTTGCCCCGCTTTTTGCGGAAGCATTGGGAGATAAATAAGCCCCTTACAGAACGTGCTCATACTTCTGGTGGTCCTGTTCCAAACGAGGGGGGCCGAAAGGAAAACCCTGCTTCAACATGTTTGCTAAGCTTTGAGCACAGGAGAGTCTTGCTGCTTTGGCTGGGCGTTATTTCAGCTGCTTAGTTTGGCAACCTTTGTCTCGACCTTGCGCATTGGGTGAATTCGAGCCAAAGCAGTAGACCAATGATTTATCACGGGTTTGCTCGAGGGCCTTTGTCAAAAAGCTGCCCGGGTTGTTGAGGAGAGTGGTTGCCAGCAAAAGGCGGAGAGGAAGACAAGGAAGGCGGCAAGGTAACGAGGTAAGCAAGGCAAACAAGACGAGCAAGACAAGCAAGGCACATTGGCATGCAGGCAGGGAAGGACGGACCAAGGGCGGCTTGAACTGACAGCAATGTAGGAAAGCGAGGAATGCAGGTTCGTCGACGCTCAGCCCTGGGTGCAAATGCATCTTTTCTTGCCATAGGCACCATGATTTGCAAATGCGGGAGAATACTCAACTATTTGCAACGCAAAGGGATGTCGAGAGATGAATTCAGTGGCTTTAGTTGGTTTGTCGTTAAGCGCATTTTTCAAACATTGGGCAGAGCAGACATTTCACCGAGTCCACAGTCAAGCAAATTCAGGAGCGGAGTTGAGCTGTTTGGAAGAGTGGGAGGCGTGCCTATGCGTCGACTTGCTTGCTGAGTTTGGCTCCTTTAATTTGCTTAGTGCTGTGGGTGACTGACCCGCTGTGTATATATTTACTTCGAGCCCGGCTTCGACCTAGTTGCTATGCCTTTCGACACGCTGTGCCGCATCCCCTTCGTCCTCAATCGCAGCGGGACATCTCGCGGGCTGTACCTCCTCGAGAAGCTTGGCAAGGTTTGAGGTTGTGCTTGTAGCAGCCACACCAGAGTAAAACAGTTTCGACCTTGACTGGACGCCCCACGGCAAGTACCAAGGAGTCTGAATGTGCTCCATGATTTTGGAGCGTTCTTGACGGTCAAGAAGCCCTTTCGATATGCAAGGATGGTCCCCACGTTGCTTTAGAAAGAGTCAATTTTGTCCCCACCCAGTTTCCAGATCTGACCGGATTTCAAGCTGATGACTCGTCACCTTTTTACACCCATCCAAATGCGTCTTGTGCATGTCGTCTCTTTGGGCGGAGGCCCATGGCAGGAGGAGTAGCAGAACTGCCAGCGCATAAGACTTTCCACATGTTGACTTGTTTGCAATGCCTCCACGCAGACCTGGATAACTGGATAAGCTTGCAGGAAGGACGTGCCGAGCATTGGCCCTGCCCGCAATGCGGTGCTCAGCGAGCTGATGGGCAGCGGTCACCCCCAGCAGATCGGCGGCTTCGGAGGTGGATGCGGGCCAACCAGCAAGGTCGCCATTGTGGGCCCGCACAAGGAGAGGGAGATGCAGGGAACTGGCCCAAATCGCAACACATGCCAGAAGCTATCCAAGAGACAACTATTGGTCCCCAGGGGTTGCAGACTGCTCAGAAGAGCATGACATTAAATTATTGTTTCAAACGCGGTGTGCAAAGAAGGCAGCCGAAGGTGTAAGTTCAATGAGGCAAACCTTTGGATGGTGAATGAAATTAAAACCTGTATTTTCTGAAGAAATGATGAGATTTAACATCCCTGGACTTGCCCTTGTTGGTGAGTGCTTCCTGCAAGATAGCACACAGAAACGGGGCCTTGTTGCGCGCACGTCGCTTGAGATAAACTATCAGGTGCTTTTTGTGGCGCCGCCCATTTGCGAAGCAACATGCTAGGTCTATCGGGGGGGCTTTGCCCGGATTGAACACTGCTGCATGCGAGCGCAGTGAGGTCTTTTCTATGGCGAGTATGATCTCTATGGTAGAAAAGCGGGCCTTGAGCCAATATGTATACGTGATACAAACTGATTGCCCGAAGGTCAATCGTCTGCAAAACACAGAAGGGGATTGGGGGTGCTCACACGACACGCAAACACACACACACACACACACACACACACACAGACACTCTGCTTCAGAACACTTCGTTTGTCGACCCCCGCCCCCTCTGCTGACACACAAAACACAATGATGAAAGATGTAGCGGGCACGGCTGCCTACATGTTCTGAAGGCACTATGCACAGTAATCTGCCTCGAACCGCAAAAGCCCGGTCTTCCGAGCAACCCCTCCCCCCCCCCGGATAAAGCCAACATGCCGCTCTCAATGTTCCAAGCGGCGTTGGAGTCAATTGCCAGATATGTTTGGCCGGGCCTGGGCCAGGCTGAGGCTACGGTTGAATCCATTGTTTTGTTTTTTTGTCGGGCAGCTTGCGCAAGGAGCCAGGTTGGGTCACCTGCTACTTTTCCCAATGCGGAGTGACAATTGCAGATGTGGACACTTCGGCCGGTGACTGCGGCAACATCCTTGCTGCTGTCGGCGGCTTCGCCATAGAAAACAATTTGGTTGCAGCAGAGACAGGCGCTGCCGCCTTCAAGAGTTGGCCTTGCAAACTTGAAACATTGTAGCTGGTAGTGGCCTGCAACGGCCGTTTCCAGATGTCCAATGTCCAACGTCCAACGTGTCGCATGTTCCATGCGTTCCGTAAGCTCCTTTGATGAAGGCGGCGTTTTGCAACAAGTTGACAGCTCGTGTCAGGTGACAAGACCCGAGTGAAGGTCGAGAGCCTCAACACAGGTGCACGCTACGAAGTCGATGTGGCTCTGCTTGCAATGCGAGGGCCGATGGCTGAGACTCTTCAGGCAGTCGGGCGGCTCATTTGACGCACTTGCCCAAGCTAGTGCCATAGCGTGCAGCGTGAGGTGCCTATGAGCGCGAAGGGTGTGCAGTACACGGGCAGCTTTTGTGTTCCAGGAGTTCCTGGCCCCGCTGCTCCTGTGCGTGTAGCCACACGTGGGGTTGCAGGTGCGCAGACGGGACGACTGTTGCCCACGGGCCAGGCGGGCGGCAAGGTTTAAAAACTTTAGACGACCAGCGTATGGAGCCCCCAACTAAAGGCCAAAAAACCCTGCCCTGGCGAGGCAGAGGAGTCATTCGACCTGGGCGCGGGTTTGGTGGTACGAGCCAGCATCATCGATTTTGCGCGCGCTTTGGTCATGGTGGATGCCGCAGATATCATTCCACACTTTGGCTACAGCAACCTGCAGGAAGTCACACTCCAAAGAGCCAACTGCGACCATGCGATGTGCTCGGCCTTGGAGAAACTGCGATTACAGGCCGCAGCTGCTTTCAAGAAGCCTTGCGTTGTAACTAAATATGTCACGCGTAGCAAGTTATACACACTGCGCGCGCAGGCAAGCCAGAAGATGGGCATGGGCGATTGTACCGGAAAGGATGCTCCCAAGCTCGCGCTGTTGGCTCCACTCGAAGCTGAAGGCCGCCAGGGCTTGGCTTGCCGATACTTTGTGAACCCGGGGAGGTCCGAGATGCACCCAACCATCGCGATGACTGCTGCACAGGCAGTGGGCGCAGCGAGCTTGCTGCATGGCAGCGTTGCGATGAGCCTTGGAGGGCGTTGGGATTGGGGTAAGGTTTGATGTTTGACACCATTTGCGGGCTTGTTTCTTCACTCCGTGGTTGTGCTGTGTTCCCAACCCAACAACACGTTCTCGATCTTGCTTGGCTGGCCTGCAAGCGGACTGCAGGAGAGCTTTGGGGCGACTTCCTCAATCGGATTCAGGCGCCAATGGGGCGAGCTTCACCTTCGAAATCCAGCATGAGAAAGGGAACTTTCCCGTGAGCATCGGCACTACAGATGCCAAAGATGCTGAGCCAATGCAAGCGGAACAGTTTGCCACAGGTTTGCCAGCAACTGGATTGTACGTGACCACAGTTATGCCTATCGCCCAAGGATCGGCCTTCCTCAAAGGTTCTAACTAGTTGAGGTTTGCGCCGATGGGTCGATGGGTGTCCGTGCTTTTGCTGCCGTAGGTGCCGCAAGCACTTTGTACAGTTTTGCGAATTTGCGGCCGTTCTGGCCTAGGCCCGATTTGCGGCACAGCTAGCTTACCTATAAGGATGCTTCGGCCTCCTTAAACTGGGCCTCTGTAACACTGGGCCTTTCTTTTCCTCTGTACCATGAAAGCAGCGCAATCTGATTTTCAGTGATTTGACGCCTTTCACAGAAACTTCTGAGAAACTTGGCCGGACAATGGCACACATGCGGCCATTGCCAGCTGCCAAAGGAAGTTCTGAGAGGCAATTCCAAAGACGGCGTGCGGTTCAGGCCACCCAGTTGACACGGGTTCAACCCAGTTGTCCGCCGGGCCGACTGCCGCCGCATTTTGAGCGCGCAATTTGCGTGCTTAATTTGGTGCAGCAGCCGGAAGGCTTTGAGAAAGGGGAGTGATCACAAGAGATCACCGAGCTTGTAAAGATGCCAGGCTGCAAGTGCATGTTTCATGACTCGTGGTAGTCCTTTCAACACAGGGTTTGCCTTTTGACTGTCTTGCGGAAACTGGGAGACAAAGGGACCCCCTTAGAGAGTGTTTCTACACTTTTAGGGGGCCCTTCATTTTTCCAAAGGGGGCCATAAGGTAAACTCTGCTTCCAAATGTTTTGCTAGGTTCTGGGCGCTGGAGGGTCTTGCTGCTTTGGGCATGATTTCTTCTCAGATTTCAACTCAGTTCGTTCTTTCGACCTTGCGTGGGTGAAATCGAGCCAAAGCAGTAGACCAAGATGTACCATGGGTTTGCTCGATTGCATTTGGCAAAAAGCTGCCCAGGTTGTCGAGGGGAGTTGCTGAGGACAAAAGGCGGAGAGGAAGACAAGGAAGGCAGCGAGGTAAACAAGGCAGGCGAGGCAAGCAAGGCACATTGACAGGCAAGAATGGAACAGGCGAAAGGTGGCTTGAATAGCGCTTTGACATGGAAGTGGTTGGCTTTCCCGACAGGCGACAGTTTAGGGGTTACCGCGCTTCTAAGGGCGGAGCTCACGCACTTACTTCCTATTTGGTTGAATCTGAGGACGTTAACTTTTAGATGAAACAGTGGGTTCTCCATTGGACCCACAAAAGTTAAACTTCTTGCAGAGGGTCAACAGCAACCAAGCTTAGGTCTACTAAGTTCCTCTTCATGATCCGGACAAGCTGCATAGTCCTTGCCGCAGTTTCAGCCGCCGCCGCCTGACAGCAACGATGGCAATCAGGGGTGGAATGCAGGTGCAGCTTGAGGCTACAGTATGTCTCCAGCTTTTCTGCCTTGAGCGATTGTGGCTGCAGATTCGGAGGGGTTTGTGAATTTGGAACATTTGACGCCTTGTAACTAGAGACCTTAAAGGAGGGGAACACAGTGAGACGGTGCGGAACATCCCAGCAACTTCGCCTGCACATTTCAGTGGAACCTTGGGTCGGTTGTTGATTTTGCACATACACCCGTACAGGGTGGCCAGCGGGCAAGAGGGTTGCCACTTGGGGTTGTTTAACAAGAGAGTAGTACTGTTTCAGTATACTTTACTGTTGGGTGAGTCCTTTTTCAACAAAGCATGCACAAGCCCCTGCAAAGCGGGAGTAAAAATACGATAACCATTGGTAAGACATGAATGATGCACAGCTGCCAAAGTGTACTTGGCGTACTAGACTTGTATTTAAAAGTTGTTACTTTCGCGGCGGAGCTACCAAAGTGTACTTCGTGTACTACATTTGCCCTTAAAAATTGCAACTGTACTTCGTGTACTACACTCGTACTTAAAAGTTGCGACTTTCCAGCCAGAACTGCAAAGGCTCCCAAGTCATTTGCGCGATATTGCTCGGCCGACAACTTCGTAAATCGCGTGTGAGTTCTCGCGTATTCTCTTGCAGCTTGAGAGCCTCTGTTTTTCCCGTAGGAACAGTGTGTGTGTGTGTGTGCCGGCGCGTCAGCAAATCTTAAGAGGCATCATGGAGCACGTAGCTCAGGCAGCTTCCCGCCACGAGTCGCTGCTTCGGCGGGAGGGCAGGCGAGCGCGAAGCGCGGAAGTGGTTGTGGGTCAGGTGTGGCAGCCTTTTTCGAGCCCCAAGATCTTTGGCCCATTCGCAATGCCACATGGACTCCTGAAGGCTACTGTAAGCGGGCATTCCAGCGCCAACACGCAAAAGGTGCTTCATCATGTGTGGGAGGCTTCTGGAGGGCTGGTTTGGAGGGGAGTTTAGAAGAGGTTCCTCGTCCCCAAGAAAGTGGAGGACATGACTGAAGTGACATGTGTTTGACCATTCTAAGATGCAGGGCACAGCAGAGAGTCATGAAGCTTGACTGCAAACCGTGTCAACATCCACAAACTTCTGGAGCATGAGAATGCACGCGCCATTGATTTGCCGAGCCAGGGGGCAATTGGCATTGGAGGCGGGGACCAGGATGCTTGTTATGGTATCAAAAGCGGCCATGGGCTGGTTGTCCGGTTGGAACCTATGAAACAGAATCCTTTTTCAGATGCCCGATAGTATGGTCTCACATGATTTCAATGAGAATCGCAAAGGGCCGCAAAACAGCACCTACACTCCGCTGTGAGTCTAAGATTGACAGGCCTTTTGCATTTGCACCTTAGGTCAAGATCACAAAAACTTGAGCTTCGGCTGACATACACGAACACACCCCTTGGGATGGCGTGTGCTGAGCTCCTGTGAAGGCCGACCTGGACGCTGCTGAGCTGCCACTCAAGAACAGCCCAGCATCCTGACAGCATGCCCGGCGTGGCACGGGTTGGACGATTGGCCAGCTGGGAACGAGGCGTTGGTTGTTCCTTAAACTTTGCTGCGTCTTTGTTGGCTGGCTGTGGCTGTTTTCCTGATTGGATATGTGCTAGACTTGGCATGTGCATTCGCGGAATTTGCGTGCATTTGCCCACGCAGCGAAGGCCGAGACATGCAAGCTACATCCCATCGCGATAAGGTGTCGTCGAGACCCTAGATGGCAACCCCATCTTCAGAAATGTGTTTCACATCATGTTAATCATTTTACGAAGCACCAGTCACTAGCCTGATACTTAAGGAAACCCGTGCCCTGCCGTGTTCGGAAGCCTTCAAGGCTTAAGACTAGCCCCCGCAAGAGTCCGCTGCCCGCTCCAGCTCGAGGTATTTGTGCTGGCATTCTGCCCGCTGATGTGCGCGCCATAGCTGCCGAAAATTGCAAGCGCTGGCCTCCAAAGGCAATCCATGGTTGTTGTTGGGAAACATTTTGAAATCCCCACTGAACTGCTAAAATTTAATTTGTTGCTCCCCTTCCAACGTCAACCAAGAATCAACACGTGATGAGCGCAAAGGGATTGTTTGCATTGCCACTGGCTTTTTGGCTCGCCTCTGCTGAGATTGGCGTCAACTGCTGCGGCGGGCTTCCTGCAGTTCAGAAAGACGCTAGTGACAACCGCCGCGGAGATCTCGGAAACGGCGCAGAGCAACGATACCAAGCGCGCCTTCGGCTTCTTGATGCTTGTCCCACACATCAGCGTCCCGCGAGCTGCGACGCAGCGAATATCCTTGGAAACTCATTGGACAGCATGCTGTGTTTTGAAGCTCCATCCTCACTCACAGAGCCCATGAGCATGTGTCAAAAGTAAGGCAATTCCAAAGCGATCAAAGTTCGCCAAGCAATCACCCCTGAATTGGGGGGGGGAGCCGTGGGGGGGAGCCGTTCAAAAAACCATGATTCTTGAGCATGTCAGCGTAGGTGCTCAGTACCGGAGGAGCTCTTTGACGCTTGGCAAGCGCTCGACTGATTGATCCAGATTTCAGCGTGGTAGGGATCCTAATCCGGGACCGTCGGCTAACATGGGGGCTGTTTGGGTGGCCAAGATGCACTTCCTGGTGCTGTAGTGGGAGGGAGAGTTTCGCACCTTGCCCTTTGGATACAAATCAGGAAAGAAAAACCCTCACTCGTGCCGCATGGCATGTGCACTGGCGAGCTTGAGCGAAATTGGCAAGAGTCCTCTTTCAGGGCAATTCAGTTGGCTCGCAACCTGTGTTCAGCCCTTGCCGGGCCCATGGCTTGCGCAAAAAAGCTTTGAAGTGCGCTGGAAGCTTGCTGCGAGGGCCGTGGGTTTTATCGCAGGAAGGTGGAGGAGGGCCACATCAAGCAGTCAGGCTTCCGGCGCTCGCGTTTGGGCACTCTGCTGAACCTTGCCTTCCTGAAAGCCTTGGGCGCCTTGATTTCACTGACTCTCGTATTTTTTGGCGCCCATGTGTTCGTGTGTGCATGGGGTTTTACATCCAGCCGTAAGCACAGAGGTAGTTTGCTCTTTCGTTTGGCTGATACTGGCAGAGTTGTTTGTCCAAGCCAAGGGTTGGGAACATTCCCCAAAACTGTTGTCCCGGAAGAGCACACTATTGCCACTGCATCAGGCGCATATAGTTTCATCTCATATCCAACTGTTACGCTGCGTAGTGCTTGGATTGGCTAGCTTTAGAATATTCCAAAGCAACCTCAACACAGCTTCTATGTTCGAAGCTGCATCAACACATGACATGCAGACGACTCTTTCTGGTGTTCCTTTGCCTTGCCTTCTCAGGCAAAGTGCAAGGACAACTTCGAAAGCTGTGACAACAAGTAACATGCAAACGACTCTGTGTGTTGTTCCTTGGCCTCCTCAGGTAAAGTGCCAAGACATGTTATCTTCATTCGCTGTGTCAACAAATGTCATGTCAATGTAGACAACTCTGTTTCTTACTATTTCGCCTTGCCTTGTCAGGTATACGCTGGGACAACTTCAGTAGCTATGCCAACAAGTAACATGCAGACGGCTCTTTATGTAGTTTTTCTCCTTAGGGAGACAGCTTCAATAGCTGTGCTACAAAACGCTGTGCCGACGACTCTATTTTCTTGTTGTCTGGCGTTGACTTTTCAGACACGTGAAGGCAATCCATGTCAACAGGACAAGCATTCCAGGTGTTCCCTGCTAGCTTCCGTTGTGTGAAGTGTATTCCTCAGTCTGGCCATGTCTGGCCGCAACTCCAAGCGTGAGAGCGGCTCGCTTGCCAAGTTGCTCAGCACGTTCTTCTAGCATCGCTGATTGCTGTGGCTTGGCTGCATGCAGCTCGTGTTGTTGTTTTCTCTCTCTCTTTTTCTCTGTTCTTGCGGTTCGGAGTCCTTTGGGCCCGTTGCGCCTTTGAGGGTACCCCCCCCCCAAAAAAAAAAATCACGTCAAGTTGCTCGCATTTTGAGACGGATGCAACATGTGCCAGCAGCGGAAGGTGAACTCCTTAGACGAGTGGTGCGGAACAAATTGGCGAGCCGTCTTGCTGAGGCCCGGGCCGCCGGGCAGGTGTGTGGCTGAAGGGAGTCGGTCAAATGCGTCAGATTCCTCCTGGCTTCCCTCTACGGTCCTCCTATGTTCCTCCTACTGTGGATGGACAAAATCCTGCACCACTTTAACAATTATGGGAAACCATGTTTGTTGGTATTTGCAAGGAAATCATCATTCCAGGGTTTCTTACGTGGTGCAGGATTTCGTCCGTCCACAGTATGTCCCCCTTGACCTTTAAATGGGAGGGGAGTGTTCGGGCCGCTTGTGAAGTTTCAGAGCTGCGGCATCCTTGGAGAGGCATACCCAGTTTCACCTGAGATGTGTTGAGAAAAGTTTTGCTGGACTAAGCAGACTCAGCAGAGCATGGCCTTGCTCTCACAGCCAGATTCGAAACCCAAATAGCCACCTAAACATTCACAGACTTCACAAGACAAATCCTGGCTGTGTCTTCAAGGCCGGAAAAGCGTGGGGTGGGTAGTGTGCCAGGCTTTCCGGCGTTAACCTGGATTTTTGGGCGCTTCTTTCAAAGCCGGGTTTTCTGGACATGCATTTCCCATCGGAAAGGCCTCCCGGCGCGGCGCCGATGCACTTCACCTGGGATGCCACAGCTGTGGCGGCTTGGATGCCACCTTTGGGGTTGGATTTCCTGGGGGATTCTGGAAGTTCCCTGCCCTGCCAATATGGCTGTGGGTCAAAGATAGGTACCCAAATTGAACCCTGTAAGTGGTAACATGAACTAAAACCTGCGGTCCCCTGGTGGTCTATCCATATGTTCTCTTGACTTGCAGGGATATGCAGCGGCACCATTTGCCGAAAACGACCGTCACAGAGACCATGTTTTGTCACGCCGCACAGCGAAGAAGTGCATAGCTGTCACCCATGTGAATGCCAGTGCGAGCTTGATGAGAGGCGAGAAACTCGGATCCTGGTAGCCGAACAGATTGCAACATGTGCAACGTGCGCATTCGGCCAGAGATCTCGCTTTGGACTCCGCAATGTTGAACTGTCGAACAAATGCGTATCCCAAGCAAGGAACCCTACCGCTTCTGCCTTAGGCTTTCGACTGAAAGAAAGTGGCAAGCTGAGTGTTCCAAGCATGGGTGTCCTTTTTGGTTGTTGTGGTCGAAAAATAGAAGGCGATTCCTGGTTGACCTGGTGGCTTAATCATCTACCAGGGCCATCTATTTCCCCTAAAAGGACACCTATGGTTCCAAGGCGTTCCTGATTGTGTACTTCCCGGCCTTGGCCACGCGCTCGATTTCGGAATCGAGCTGTGAGCTGCACGTCAGCTTGCGAATGGCTTGAGGGCGGATCCAACGTTGTTATGGTGGGAGAGCGGGTGGCAGATTCGGGGGCTGCATGTAAAGGCCTTTGGATGAAGACAGGACTTGAGCCTGAGGCGCTAACTTTATCCTATTCCCTCACGTGGCTTGAATGAATTTGGTGCTGTGCTTTTCGCCTGTGAGCCAGTCGGTTGAAGCAGCTTTTGACGCACCCAAATGCAAGGCTACCAGCCTATCGACACATTGGCAGCCCTGCAATAAGGATGTTTGAGTGGCACGCGGCAATGCAAAAACCACATGTGGAGAAGGACTTGCCAGGACAAGCTACTGGCACACCGCAAGTATTGCAGCAACATGCTCTCACGTGACGTGTCGGTGACTGCACAACCGTGATTTGTTGGTATTCACCTTTGCCAAGCAGACAACAAGCATGGATGACATGATCTTCTGAGAGTCCAGTGTCAAGTGTGAACATATTTTTTATCTGTGCACAACAACTCTCAGCATCGACTGAGCACCAAGAACCCTCATGAAAAGGGGTGGTTGAGGGGCTCTATCGAAAAGCCAAAACGGGCGGCTTTCGCCGCCTGCCTTGCCCCGAAAGCCGCGTAGCCATTTGCAGTTGTGTAGATGGCTCCAATCTCGGGCTCATGAGGATCATTGACAGCGTCAGGCCCTTTCCAAGCTCAACGAAATCCAGAGAGCCGAATTGCAGGAAAGCTCTGGAATCACCCCAAAGGATTCCAACGTCCTCAACCGCCGAAGGAAAAAGGAAAGTAGATGGCGCAGCTCGCAAGCTGCGCTTTCGCGGGCCCTCGAGCACCTGCCGTTCCGCGCTTTGGGGTGATACGTGTGGAACCGTGTGGCCGGTTCGAAGCGTCGATGTTTGAGCTTTAAATCGGTGTTCGTCACTCAGAGCAGTGCTTGGCATTTGTTGCTTCACACTTTGCCGGTGAGCTGGTTTTGTCTCAGGCAACGTTGTCCGGGTCGTGGCTTACTTGGCAGCGAGGGGCAGCCCAACACAAATCTGGAACAGGTACGCGTGACTTCCCTCAAATGCCATAGGATCAAAGCCAGAAGCGCGCTTTGATTTTCAGGCTTGCAGGGGGTGTTGCACATCCTTGCCACAGTCACCTCTGCCGAGGTTCCAGTGGTGGCAGAGAAAGTTCCTCCTTCCCTGCCCACTCAAGGAAGCCGAGCTGGTGAGGCAAGGGTTTTGCGGGCTGATGGGGGTTGTGAGCCCATTGGCTGGCTGTGTGGATGGGACTGGTTACATATGCACCATGCCTCGTTTGCTCCTGTGTTGGAGTCAGCCTCCCTTTGACGGAGGTGCTTGGCACTCGCTTTGGCGATGTTCGAGCAAAATGAAAGTCACGCAAGGCCAGAATGGTTCTTTCCCTGCTCCAGCTATTCCCTGCGGTTCCCATGGCCACTGGGCATTTAGAGCGGAGCACAGGCAGCAACGCTCCACCTTGCTTGATGTTGTTTTTGTTTTTTCCCGTGAAACTCTCACTCTGAGTTTGGAAACGCCCACCTGGCTTTCTAGGTGGTCTTTGACTGCGTTTGCGAAGCCAGCAGGTACATCCCAATCAAGCCACGAAACGCGGCACCGTGAAGAAACGTTCAGGCTCTCCGTCCTGTTGGACGGGGATATAGTGGAGGACCTTGCCCGGGTCAACAGATCTGGCGTGCCACGGATCTACTCCCGAGGATGCCGCTATGTATGGAAGGAAGATGCTTTGGCAAATTTAAGGCAAGAACGGGCAAGGCAACCTGCACCCCAGACATGCTTTCCAAATCGGGTTGGCCACGTGGCTTTACCCTCCACAACTTCAGATCTCAGCTTTGCCCGACCTTCGGCCGCGCCAAAGGAGCTCGGAAAGTTCGTCAGCATGCAGGCGGGGAGCCGGCGGCTTTGACCCCAGATCAACCTTGGGCCTCAAGGGTTGCAAGAAGTGCCTGTTGATATTCGGCGTTCGCATGCGTTGTTACAAATCTCAAAGGAACATCCCTGCACGCATGCGTTACGGTCTTCAGGGTGAATCCCAGTGTGCCCATGCGCATAGACACACACATACACAGGTCATAAATACGAGTCAAAAGGTCGCAGGACCCACGCCAGGCTTGTCAATTCTTTGACTGACCGCTTGCAGTTGCTGAATGTTCGTTGGAGCTGTAGAACGCCTGCGGTTTGGATTTGTGCAGTCTCAAGTGTCACAAAGGACGGGCGCGCAGGCCGAGAAGCAGAAATCCGCGGAGTCTTTGCGGCAGCGCTTGGAAGAGGGCGGGCTCTCACAGCAGACGCGCACTCAGTTCGTCCAGTGTTCCAAAATGACTCTATACGTGCGGGCGTGTCTTTAGATGACCCCCAATAGTTCTGTTGGTTTTCCTGTTTGCCTGTACAACTTCATACAAAAAAGAGGTAGTGCTGACCCTAGATTAATTGGCCCCCTGTTTGTGACTGGGGATTCAGACCAGTTTGGGAGGGGGCCCCACCCCCATATTAATAGACAGCGGTTCATTAATCCAGAGTCAACATTACTGAGCCTCAAACAACAGCCCTTGCTGCTTGAGGAAAGCTTTGGAGCGCCTGCACTTTGTGGGCCCCAACCGAAGCTCGGAAGGATTCGCAGGGGTTCGCGTTGCAAAAAGCGCCGGAAAATGATGAAGCGACTGCTTGCCCCAAAAGAGAATTTCCGACTGGTTGATTTACCCTCCCACCAAGTAACATGGAATTTGACAAGGGGACTCCTGGAAGACCATGTTCCTTTTAAAGGGACCGGGTCCCTGTCAGGTTCCGGCTGTTAATTGATGGGAGGATGACCCAATAGCTGATCGAACATCGGCTTTTCCTTCCAGTTGGATCAAGGCCGGGTCAATGATTCAGGGCACCAAGGCATGGGGCATTTGCTTTGCTTAAGGCTTGCAAGCCACGCCTTCCAATCCCATGGGTCCTGACAAGCGCCCCTTGTAGCTCAAAATCAAGCTAGGGCAAGCGGCAGGCTGGCTCGTCCTTGGTTCCACCAAGGTGCCAGGCCAGTTGCATTTGTTTGAGCAGCCACTTAAGACATTGCTCATCAGAGACCAAGGTTCATCTATGTTTCAGTGCTATGTGCGCTCACGGGTCACCGCAGTTTTGGGAAACCTAGCTTGCAATTTGCAGTTGACTGCGGGAAGGGAATGAAGAGGAACTCAACCCCCACATAGCTAGCACCCGTTGAATACGTTCCATGGTTGCTGTGCTTTCGCCATGTTACGCGTTATCAAGCCTATTCTCACCTGACGGCGAAATGCTCATTCCTTTGCCAGGGCTGCCCTGAGAGCAGCATCATCAACGCCTATTTTGGATTTTGCACACCCTGTAAACTTGAATGGGCGGACCCATTTCCTTGTGGTAGACGACACGCCACAGCCAGCTTTGGCTCGGATCCCAAGATCAACCTGTTTTGTTTGCAGAAAAAGGGTTGCTAGAAAACGGAATGCAAACGCAACCTCCATCTTTTTATGCACAATCAACAACCATTTTGCACTGCATCAATCCCGATTTCCCCCTTGGCCTGGTAGCTCAGAGGCTACTGTACCTTTGTCGTCCGTGCGCTGTGCGGTCTCCATCCTGCTTGGATAAGGAATTGACGTGCCATGCCCTGGCATGCTGGAAGCCTTGCTCTCCGAGCTGGCGAGCTATGATTACCTCTACCAGTGACCTGGCACCCCAGAAGCTTTTCGCGCGAGCGCGCGCCGTGATCTATGCAAAAACAAGGGCTGAGGCGGATGACGGTGATTCGGAAGTTGTTGGTTGAGCTTGCTCGATCAAGTGATTGTGGGCGTGTTGCCTTTGATAGCACGTTCGGCAAATCTTAGTGGCTGGTTCATGGCGATTGTTCACATTGACAAAGTCTGCCTTCTTAGTGGGCAAGTGTACTTGTAGGTTTGGAGCAGCTAGAACTCGGGGCTGGCAGACTGAAGCCGAAGGGCGAACTGCCCTTGCCCTTCGGACAGGAAATTGGAGTGGAGTGCTCGAGCAATTGAAGTTGTAATTTGGCAGGATGCGGGTGTTTGCTCCATTCTTCAATTGGAGGAGGCGTTTGAACCGACATGATCCTCAACACGTAGAACACTTCAACGGAGTTACAGAGCCATCTTTGGCAGATAGGTACGTACTCACAGTTCATGTATGCATGCGTGCATGTGTGCACACATGACGCCGACGATATGTCGGCCCTTTACGCGTACGTTAGACACACACGCACACACTTATTCTGGCTGTGGCAACACAGGCGGTCCTCTCGCTTCGAGACAGAATAGTGGACCTAGGACCCATGCACACACCCAATCGCACCTATGTTAGGTGATTTGAGCGGATCTAGGTTGGGCCCGACATGAAATTACGACTTCGGCATGTCGCCCCTCGACCGATGAGCCGCTCTGAGGCTGTTCTTCCTGTACCTGTGGTGCTTAGTCTCCATGCGGCGTGGCTGGCAAAGTCGACGCTTGCGCATCTTGAATTGCAGCTCCACTACCCTCCCACCAGGCTAACATGGAAGTGCACACACAAGAGCACTACCAACTATCATGGAAGTGCGCAAACCACCTTTCCAAGAGGAAAGTAGTCTGTCTACAGGGGGTTGTGCACTTCCATAGTAGTTTGGGAGGGCAATGCATAATGCTCATGAATGAAGCCGTGAGCTCTCTTGCTCTGCTCCAAGATTGGCACTGACATACCTTCGACTCCCTTTAGATGTGACAACCTGCAAGACACATGCGAAGCCTTGGTAAGACGAAGGCTTTTGGGTCATGTGTGACTTGCGTTTGGCAATGTAAGTCACCCAATTTCAAGACGGTCGGAAGAGGTTAATCTCCTATTCTGGGCCAAAGGCCTGCAGCAGGAAAGTGGAAACATCTCTTGCTGCAGAGCCTGCGCCTGCCAGGGATTCATGTTTTGGGGGAAGCTGGCCTGCAGGGCGGAGTTTTGCTGAGGGGGTTGCTGCATTCAATCCAATTCTGAAGTGACAATTGTTTTCTTGGTGGTTCCCAGCCATCCGGTTCCTTAGCCGTTTAGCCTTCAGTGTTCAGTGGGGATTTCCATTCACCCACTAAAAGTTCACCCACTCTTAGCGGGGGATCAGAACACGGGCAGCCCAGTTTGGACGGCGCAATCCTTCTGTTGCCCCATGCTTTGGGCACATTCCATCGGGCTTTAGCACTGGTCCTAGGCGAAAATCGCAGGTCTGAGTCGATGGGCGGTGGCTCAAAAACCAAAGGAAGTCCACAAGGGGCTGCCCGATCGGTAAGTGGAAGCATGGGTACCGAAACCTGCGGTTTGCCCCTCCTGGTTCGTTTATGTTTTTCAATTTTGAGCCACACCCATGTGTGGGGCTTCAGTTGCTTACACAAGAACAGTTGAGGGCTTGACGGGAGGAGTCGCCCATGTTCAATGCAAAAGCACCGCTCGCCGAAGCCCGAAGCCTTTGCGCAGCATTGTCGCGCCGAGAGCAATTAATTGTCTTTGTTGCTCTTCTTCCTCGCTTGTTTCGCTAATTATTCAGCCGGTTTTGCTTTTGACTCGTTCTTTTCTTGTTTCCTGCCTCCGCCCTTCACCAGTGTGCCTGCACGTCTCCGCTCCTTGCCCGTTCTTCTCATCCTTGCACTTCTTCACGCCCTACCTTCGCTGCTGCTATTGTCTCTTCACTCATCACTCTCCACTTCCCCCACGCCTCCCTACACAGACTTGAAGCTCAAACGGCTTAGGCTTCCCTATGAGCAAGACGCATGTGAACTGAGAGCATTGCACCGAGTGAACTGAGCTCAGACTTGTTTCCCCCTGCCCACATAGCATTTGGAGGAAACTGGAAGATGATTCTCCTCTTGTAGGACCGGGTTCCTGTCAGGTGCCATGTTCTCATGGGCTCGTACTGAGGGGGGGCAAAGGGAGTTACTGCAATACCTGTGCAGGGTCGCTGAATCAAGGAAAGTAAAGGAGGCTAAGGGAAGCTACAGGAAGCTAAAGGAGTCTCACCTCAGTTGCCCAAAGCCAACCTTTTCACCTTTTTGGTTTTCCTGTTTTCCATATTGAGTCATTGCCCAAGGTTCACCGTTTAGTCCCAGGTCCTTTTTGGGCAACTGAGTAACAGTTCGGGGTAAATCGAAAATCGAGTCGGAGGTTCAAGACCTCCCTGGTGTGGGCCCTGCTCTTCGCCGTGAGCGCCTTCGTCAAGGCGCAGACCATGCGCCGCAACCAGCTGGCCATGAAGCCGCCCGCCCGAGGGAGCGCAAGGAATTGTGGGAGAAATTTACCTCAGCCCGCCAAAGGGAGCGCAAGGAATTTGGGAGAAGTTTACCTCATCTTCCCCAGAATTAGCTCCCCTTTTTGCTTTTTTGCTTTGTTGGGGGTCCCTCTGTTTTCCACTCACCAGGCAAAAGAGATCATTTTTGGCCGGGGTCCTAATTCCTGCCACGTCATGAAGTCCTTCATGGCACTCAGTTGTTCAAAGCGAATCGACCTTTTGACCTTTTGGTTGTCCCTTGTTAGTGCATTTTTTAGTCATGGCCCCAAAAGGTTGACCTGTTTGTTCTGGGTCCTTTGGGCAAGTTTGGGTATGTCCAGCTTGGGAAATATATAAATTATTTGGCAACTTGACCAACATGTGCTTTCCATGGGTCAAATTGGATGCCAGATCAGCGACTATGACAAGCATGATCGTATTTTCTAGAACGAAGTGGATGAGGTTCCAGCATGTTTGCTCAGCTTAACAATCATCACGTAAAAGATTTGAGTACTTCGGCAGTGTGACTGCGCCTAAGTGTGCTTGCAACAAACCGAGTGCGTTTTGGCTCGCATGGTGCGTTGTTTTTTCGCTGACGCACGGGATTTGATCGAGGCATGAGCTATCGTTTGAAAAGTGAGCACCCGCTTCGGTTGTTCGGCGGCCGCACACACAACGCAACGGACGAGGGATGGAGCGTGGTGTTTATTTGGGCGTGTCTTGTTTTTCAAAAATGATTGGCTTTCCTGCTGGCTGTCCTTTGAAACACCAAAGGGTGCATTTGCCAGTGACTCAAGGGCCAACAGTTTTTGCTATCCATGCCTGGCAACAGAGGCAAGCCGCTGCAACAGACGCTATCCCTTTCAAGGCTCGGGTCAGCTCTGCTTCGGGCAAAGCTTTGCAGGAGTGCCGGAGGTGAATGTGTGATTGTGTTGAAAGTGTTACGTAGATTCCTCGTTCTACTCATACGCTGTCCATGCTGAAAACTCTGAGTTGAGGTTTCCCAGAAATTGTGGTCAGGGCCCCAGAAAATGTTGCAATTGAGCGGCCTTGGGGAAAGGGCAATTCAGCGCTCCGCGTTTCTGTTGTGAAACAACGATGCTACCTGCTCTTGCATCTCTCGCGAAGTGCGAATCACCGTACCGTTTTCTAGTTATTAGCTAGTTGGCCCGACTATCATTGCCTGATGCGATTCATCAGGCATGCTGCGCCGTTCTGTCCAGCTCTTCAGCCCCATACCGTCTGACAGCCGCTGCGAACATGTGACCTTCACGTGGAGTTGCAACGGGTGTTGCGCGCGGCGTGCCCCTGGCCAGGTGTTGCGCGACGCCAAGCAGATCACTATCCAAAGCCAGGAGCGTTGTCAGAAGTTGGCCCCTGAATCATGGATCAGGATGCAGCTGGGTCCCAAGGGGCAGAACGTCGACATAGCTCCTTAAACATGCTGAAGCTCTTGAGGCTCTGAGCGCAAGCTTGATTCTGGACAGGACCTTGTTCCTGGTGACGTTGTGTACTTGGATCAGTCTGGTGTGAGTGTACCAGCGGACGCCTTTGTGGTGGAAGGCAGCCTGCTGGTGAATGAGCCTGGCTCGCATTTGGCAAAGCTCAGGCACATTGGCGGCTGACATCAGCTGGCTGCACAGAGTTTGCCACCATGTTTTCTTGGCTTGTGTGGCCTCCTTTGTCAGCGAATATGTTGCAACTCTTGTGGGCAATCGCCTTGTCTATCCAGTGTCCAAAGGTGGATGCCACACCCCTTCCAGCCACCCGGAACAACCAGTGATTGTGCGTCTAGCTCAAGTTCCTCGTGAGCTGCTGCAGCATCTCTCACGAGTCATGCTCAGGACGGCGAAGTGACCGGCGAAAGCATTCCTATCCAGCTTCTCGACCGTGTGGGCCATGTGCGATTGAATTTGGGAACAGTGTAAACTTCACGCGAGACAATGTTTGTTGTCCATGGCTCAGGCAAATTTGAGAAGGGTTCATTGAGATTGCAAGCTGCTCCCTGGTGTTTTGGAGGGCTGGTATGTTGAATGAGCTGAGGAAGCTGGCTGTATCTGGCGGGGTAGTCCATGCCGGGGACGATAAGAAGCACTACCTTTTCGCGGGCACCACTATCCTCCAAAGCTGCTCGTCGCGCGTACATTGCGTTTGCTTTGAAGCTTCCTAGCGTTGCAACCGTTGTACTTGGCCATGGCTGCGAACAATGAAGGGGTGAAGTTTGACAACGGTACTGGCGAACAAAGTTTTAGCCTTGGGCAGACATATTAGCAATTTTGTGCACATGTTATCCTCAACATGTGTCAGAGCGTGGGGAGCGGGCTGCTTAGCTGGCGTTAGCTGGCGCTCATTTTGCCCACCAGATCCTGAAGGGCTTTGGTAGTTTGAATGGCCCACCGAGCTTTTGGCTTGCCCGAATGTGGCCCAAGCGTTTTCTCATTGTCCCTCTTGGCCCAGGTGGGGAATCGACCAAAGCTGTGGTTGTGGACACTGGTGGCAACACCATGCGTGGCCAGTGGCTTGGCCAGGTCAGTCGGAGTCGGGCCGAAAACCGCTTGCACCATGCTACCTTAGGAGTTCACCAGGATCTTCGGTCGGGAAATGCTTGTGATGTGCTGGCTTGGGCCTTTTGGATCCTTTTTAAGGCTGCCTCTTCCATCACTGGTCCAAGCCGACCAAAATCCTCTGGATCGTCCCACGGGGCCTTGATCGCGCGCTAGCTCGTAAAGGAATGAGATGGTTTTCGTCCAGCCGGGAGTTTCCGGGGCGGCTTGTCTGGCCGACGTCTAGCGGCTTGGTTTCAGAGGGTCCGCACGCAAGGCTGATGTTGCAGGCGCTGTACCCAAAGCCGCTGTACAGCCAGTTCGAGAAGGACTATCACAAGTTGATGGCGTTGACCGTAGGCGGAGGCACGCAGAACGGGCTGAGATAGAACGGGCTTCATGTTGTTGCTAGCCTTCCTATCCAACATGGTCACTGCATGGATGCGAGTTTTTGGGAGCTTGATCTAGCAAGGAGCACTTGTGTCCAGAGAGACCGCATGCCAAGTGGAAAGAGATGGCATAGTGGTGGTCGGCTTTTTTTTTCGGCGAGGGCCGTGAAAGACGCTACAAGGCAACAATGCCAGGCGCGCATTTCATATTAGTGACTGTCGTTGCTTGGCGCGGTGCATAGCGCAAGAGCCAGAACTGGTTAGAGCAAAATGTACTTGTCATAGCGGGCAGTGCCCAGCGTATTTTGGCATTGGCACAAGAGCGGCATGTTCCTTCCAGCCATTGTCTCAGGCATGTCCATCCTTTCAGTCATGCCCTGTCCATGGTTGCTATGTGGAAACAAGGACCTGTGGCCTTTGGAAGCGCCGAGCTTCAAAGCTTGAGGGGCGTCCCAGTTCTTCCCCACGCCATGCTGGTTTTTGATTCTGCGGATCATGTCTAGTTCCATATTGTTCAGGACCAATTGTTGAAGCGAACTGGCTGCCGTTTGGTATAAGGACAAAATGCTGACAGTGGTCGGACGTTCTCAAGTGCAGGGGCTGTCCAGCCACTCTAATTTCATGCGCGAGGAAAGCTAGATGAAAGCTGTACACTGACTGCTTGCAAACTCAATCGCGTTCTTCAACTTGGCTCTAAGTATAAGTCACCCCATCGGCACATACGGATTGAACGCACAGGCATGTGTGCTGGCATCGCCATTTGGTGGCTTCAGCATTGGCGACTCGACTGCGTTTGTTTGAGGCTTTGGGGCTCGAAGAAGCTGCTCAAACATAGCTTTCTGTCAGAGACATGACTAGGGAGAGGAGTTGCCGTGAGCTCCATGGGCCAAGTGTAAGGCAAGACTATTGAGCATTCGGCTGTAGCCTCCGAGTTTCGAGCTTCAAAAAAAGAATTGAACAGGATCTGTTGCGATGTTTCCTTGCTTTACTTGCACGCTTGGCTGAAAGTGTGTTGAGACACGTCCAAGTTTTTTGTGAAACGATGCTGGGTTCGAGCTCGTCGATGCTTGTTTGTGTTCTCCGTGAGTCCTTCTCCGCCTGGGCAGTTAGGCAATCCGCAAGATCCTTCCCTTGGGTTACGCAAGTCACCTTTGTGGCTTTCCTCTAGGGATTGTGGATTAGACGTGGCCAACCCTCCGCTTTTGAGCAGCCGATATGGTTCGGAATCCTGGGAGGGCTGGATTGGAACGTGTGACTGTGTGAACGGCCCTTTGCCTGATGAACCAATGGGATTGGTGGTCGACTTTTTGTTTGGAGCGATCAGCACTGTCAAGCCCGTCCTCCGCAAAACATGCGCCCGACCAAAGCACTTAGATTCAACCTGCCGTGCAATACCAATCCATGCCTGTGCCCAAAAGTTGACACTATTATCTCCTCTCCCTTGCAACAAGCTCAATCAATTGGAAGTTGTATATCAGGGATTTTCACCACGCAGAGCTTTCTACGGTTCCACCGGAAAAGCAGCATTGAAGAGTTCCGTGCATTGACTCCCCCAGCAGAAGCTCTGACTCTTGAACCAACCAGCCCGCTGCCGGAGCCATAGATTTTGGTGCTCGGAATGTTCCGCCCCAAGGCGGGTGGTAGGCGCCCTCAGCGGCATCTTCGTCATCTTCAACTGCTTCTCCCCGCTGCTGCCAGTGTCGCTGGTCCTGGGGCAGACCAGCTCTGCAGAACGCTTGCGCGACAAGCACGGCCCCTCGGTCACCCGTATGGGTCTCCGAAGTCACATGCCAAGGCGTGCCCATTTCTGCGCGCGTGTCATGCGTGCGTTTGGCAAGTCACGAGCTTAATGCATGTTAGTCATGTTTGTACTGTCAACTGGTCTACCACGCTCTTGGAGCGTGGAGTCATGGGCACAAACTTAGTCAGCTATGCTCAACATACTGCTCAAGCGCAGCATGAAATTGAGGAAGCTTGAGTGAAAAAAAGCGAGTCTAGCGTTTCTGCAGAGACGTGAGAGGTCACGTTTTGAAAGCGGGCGCTTTGTTTGTGACTCACCGATACGTTGTTTACCTTTCATGCCCTAGGTGTGCTGTGCGTGAACTCGAGCCGAACAGCCGTCGCTGGGCGAGTGGACATTGGCCTCTTCGACAAGACGGGCACATTGACGCAGGATGGCCTGGACTTCGTCGCTGTGATAAGCCTATGGCGCACACACACACACACACACACACACACACACACACACACACACACACACACACACACGTGGGAGTGGGTCAAAAAAAGGTGCTCAAAATGGAACCCTGGCAAATGGAAACATGGACTAAAACCTGCGGCCCCCTGGTGCTTCAATTTTGACCCATATCCACATTGCACACAAAGACACAAACAAGCATTTCAACAAATGCTCTCAGACAGCGCTGCAGAATGTTGCAGCTTGTACGTGGCTACGCTGTTTTGTGGGGCCTATGTTCTGTGGCTGTTGCAGAGCTGAGGACGAAGCTCTTTGGTTTTCGTTGCTCACTCCGTTCGTTCCTGCCATCGGTTACTGCCAGACTTAGGTCGGATGCTATCCCGCCTCCAGGGCATTTGCTGGAGAGCCACCCCTGGATCCCAAGAATTGTCTCCTGGCGGAAGGCTCTTGGCTCAGGTGACCTCTGGGTGTGTCGTTTGGTACCACTTTCGGGGTTGGTTAAAAGGGAAACACTCATTTGGGGGATTCCCCTGAACACAGGGCCACCCTTCTTGCCTATGCACAGAGAGGACGGCTTGGGGGCCAGTAGCACCACCAAACATATTGCAACCTCGCTGCAGGCCAACCAAAAAAAAATAAAATCCTCAAGCGACTGTCCAGCAGACCCCTCTCCGAGCCTCCGGCAGTTGAACTATTGCACCTTGGGACTTTGAAGCGCTAGCGTCCCGCTGATGTGCTCGAGTTGCCTTCACGGCAGCTGCGGTATGCTGTGATTCAACTGTGGGCGTTTTGCTTAGGGACGACCAATCGGGACCACATGTTGGTTGATTGGCTTGTTTGAAGAAGTTGCTCAAGCATCTGGCAGGAATCTATTTGGGGTGCGCCAGCTTATTTTTGTTGGCCACATTTAGAGTCCACTTGCATTTCCGGCTTGAAGACTCTTAGCCCAACTGGTGCGGATGCTGATCTCTCACGCTTGACTTGGCCGGCAACAAGGCACCAACTGGGCGGAACCAGTCGGCTACTAGTGTGTGTTCTTTTGGTTTGCCCTCTTGCTCTAAAAAACAGTCCCCCAGACGTCAAACCGCCGAAAGCTAAAGCTAAACCGACCACCTGTCCTCGAAATCCGTGAGATTCTAGACCCCAACTCTTAGCGATCTCCTTAGTGGCCTGCAGTTACCCCCAGAGTCACTAAGGCTGGAATGTCCGTTCAGACTGCGACAGAAAAAGCCACACCCAGTCCTTCGACAAATCTTCGCTCTCACAAAAACATGGGTCATCAAAAAAGTTCCGCAAAAAATGGGTCATCAAAAAAGTGTCATCAAAAAAGTCCCACAAAATATGGGTCATCAAAAAAGTCCCACAAAAAATGGGTCATCAAAAAAGTCCCACCAAAAATGGGTCATCAAAAAAGTCCCACAAAAAATGGGTCATCAAAAAGGTTCCACAAAAAATGGGTCATCAAAAAAGTCCCACCAAAAATTGGTCATCAAAAAAGTCCCACAAAAAATGGGTCATCAAAAAAGTCCCACAAAAAATGGGTCATCAAAAAAGTCCCACAAAAAATGGGTCATCAAAAAAGTCCCACAAAAAATGGGTTAGCAAAAAAAGTCCCACAAAAAATTGGTCATCAAAAAAGTCCCACAAAAATGGGTCATCAAAAAAGTCCCACAAAAAATGGGTCATCCAAAAAGTCCCAAAAAAAATGGGTCATCAAAAAAGTCCCACCAAAAATGGGTCATCAAAAAGGTCCCACAAAAAATGGGTCATCAAAAAAGTCCCACAAAAAATGGGTCATCAAAAAAGTCCCACAAAAAATGGGTCATCAAAAAAGTCCCACCAAAAATGGTCATCAAAAAAGTGCCGAAAAAATGGTCATCAAACAAGTCCCACCAAAAATGGGTCATCAACAAAGTCCCACAAAAAATGGGTCATCAAAAAAGTCCCACAAAAAATGGGTCATCCAAAAAAAGTCCCACCCAAAATGGGTCATCAAAAAAGTCCCACCAAAAATGGGTGATCAAAAAAGTCCCACAAAAAATGGGTCATCAAAAAAGTCCCACCAAAAATGGGTCATCAAAAAAGTCCCACAAAAAATTGGTCATCAAAAAAGTCCCACAAAAAATGGGTCATCAAAAAAGTCCCACAAAAAATGGGTCATCAAAAAAGTCCCACAACAAATGGGTCATCAAAAAAGTCCCACAAAAAATGGGTCATCAAAAAAGTCCCACAAAAAATGGGTCATCAAAAAAGTCCCACCAAAAATGGGTCATCAAAAAAGTCCCACATGGGTCATCAAAAAGTCCCACAAAAAATGGGTCATCAAAAAAGTCCCACAAAAAATGGGTCATCAAAAAAGTCCCACAAAAAATGGGTCATCAAAAAAGTCCCACAAAAAATGGGTCATCAAAAAAGTCCCACAAAAAATGGGTCATCAAAAAAGTCCCACAAAAAATGGGTCATCAAAAAAGTCCCACAAAAAATGGGTCATCAAAAATGGGCCATCAAATGTGCGCCAAAAACTTCAAAACTTCGCACCACTCCCGGCCACTGGGCTGGGCGCCAGACCTCAGGCGAGTCCTTGCGCCTGGTGCTGGCCCTGGCGCACTCGCTGTCGGCCATGGGCGATCGCTTGGTGGGCCCGCAGGCCATGCGGATGGAGTAGGAACCCAGGTGCTCTCCGGTTGTGTGTTGAATAGGCAACGTTGGTGGTTTGTACCATTTAAATGCTTAGCCTGAAGCATTTGAGTAGCCTGCAGCACCCTGCAACCCTATTCTCAGCATCCGCCTAGGTGGGTTAGATCGGTGGTTTAGTGGCTAGGGGGTGGTTTCCGCTTGATCAAATCCCGAAAAATGGACAGCATTGCTGGGGGTCCTAAAGTACTGGGTCGGTGCTTCTGCTTGAGCAGGGGCAATGCCTGCTCAGCAACATGAAACTACCCGGCTAGGACAGCGTAGCACGAGCATTGCCAGGGCGCAAATGCGACTGGGTAGCACGCAAAGTACTTCAATTCAACTGCTTGTGGCGTTGCTTGGTGATTTGTGCTCCCAAAGGCGGGTTCTGTCTCAGAAGCTGATTTCATGATGTGTATGGCTTGGCTGTCCTATACAAGACTGGGGCCTGCAACAGCGGGTGTGGGGGACGCAACAGCACCGTGTGTTTGCCCTCAATGCCATGAATACCCCTGTAAGATTGCAAGAGACTACCAAAAAGAGTACTCAAAAAGGAACAACTTGTAGAACAAAGTGGGGAATCCACAGACAACGCAGATGGGTGTGTTTTCAGCAAACCCCTAAACTGATGGCTGCCCTTGTTGTTTCCATTAAAGCCTACCAAAAGGGGGGTAGCCTCAAAACACGACACGCTCACAAAAATTCTATATATATATATGCAAATCGCCCGTGTGAAACGCTTCAGCTGCTGAATTAGGTGGAGATCCAGATGCTGCAGAACTCGAGTGCCACGTGGTCCGACCTCGATCGCATGTCCTGGGACGATGGCTTGGCCGCAGAGGTGCAGGCCGGATGCCGCTTGAAGCGAAGCGTCATTTTTGGATGCCAGGTTGAAACTCAGATGTTCAAAGTGAATCGACTTTTTGACCTTTTGGTTGTTCCTTTCTGGCAACCATTTTTAGTCATGGCCCCAGATTGGTCCCTAAGGGGCAAGTGAGGAAAGAAACAGCGACAGAGAGGGAGAGAAGAGAGAGCGAGAGAACTTGAGAACGAGAGACAGAGAGCCAGGGACACAGAAATTGAAAGACACTGATCCCGTCGTGTCCTGCACCTACAAAAGCGGCCACCATAGTGCACACGAGAATTCTCGTCGCCGAACGCGAGGGTTTGGCGCAAGTCGGGTTTTTCCTGCTGTCGCTGTCGGACAAACTACCCTTGGCTAGGAGAGTAGGGCACACCACAACTCAGGTAACCCTTAGTTGGTCAGCGGTCTGTTTGGACCCCCGGCTTTTTTAAATGGTGAATGGGATCCCCTCCTTAATCACCAAACCACGAATCCAAACCACCAATTGGAGGCAAGCTGCGCAATTCGCTAATATGGGCCCCTCATAGGCAACTACTGGTGGATCAGCCATGATCAGCCCGCACAGGAGCGGTTCCCCTTCAACCACCACACGATGACTCAGAGCGTCGTCATCAAGACCTCACGGTCTGTAAAGATGGGAGATGCAGAAGGGCAACGTGCCTTGTGCGGCGAAAAGCCCTGTTTGCTTGTGCGCCTCATTAGATACACGTCAAAATTGGCATGAACAACTCCATACCTTAGAATAAGCGCCGGGGACAGTGGACGGTTTCTGCCTCATGATGTACTTGGCGTCATGGCTTCATTGTAACTGAGTGCTGCGCGGGGAGTTTGGGATGGGCAAAGAGGGCCCTAGCCCAGACTGAACGTGGCGTGTTTGGACGCATCACCATTTGCATAGAGACAAGTGCAAGCAGACCCTGTGTTCCCTTCATTTGGCCAACGGGTGAGTCCCTAGCCTTTGTTTCAAGCGGCGGGGGCCAAGCCTAGGCTTTGGGCTGGTGAAAGGTGCGCCAGAGAGCGTGGCGCGCCTGTGTGGCACACATCCTCAGGCCGAGAACGGAGGGAGAGCCATGACTTAGTGATTTGCTTGGAGGTTTGCCTGCAGTGGCCGAACTATGCCAAACTAGTGGAAACTTGATTCTCGTGAGCTGGAAGATAATCACAAGACCGCCAGATGCGAAGACTTACCACTCGGCTTTGCTGATTAGCAGGCCCTGCTTCAGATTGCAATTCACAATAGGTCGGATTGACACCAGCAGCAACTCTGGCCGCTGAAGCAGTCCAGAGTCCTTTCATGTGATTCCTTTCTTCGAGTCGCATACAGTGTCTCAGCCAGCTTAGTGGCGACATCTCATGCCTTGGGCACTTGGGTCCTCCATCTTTCTGAATGGCTTCAGTCGCAGAGGGGGCGCGGTGTCCCCTTTTGGGAAGACCACGAGACACGCTTGGTTCGATTGAGTTCGAATGCGACCGCCTTTCTTTTCAATTCAACGCATGTCGACAGAGTCTGGCTCAAACTGTTTGATCTTTGGGACCCGCAACCGGTTGGCCTTCGCTTGACTTCCAAATTGGGTGTGGGTCGCTAGGGGATCCCTGGCAAGGTGTTGCTGGAGGCTGCGGACGCCTGGTCGCGGCGAGGCGGGCTCCTTGGGCGTCCTTTCAGGGTTCCTTTTGGGTTCCTTTGCCTTTTTTCCCCAATTTCCCGTCAAAAATATCGACTAGCAATCGCATCAAAGGTGTCCTTTTTAGGTGAGCCTTGTTAAAAATAGATGGCTCTGGTTTAGATGGGTTTTGTTCCATTTACCAGTGCTATCTATTTTTCTAAAAGGCCACCTATGAATCACATACGTGTTTTGCGGCAGATAGTCTTTAAGACACACAGCCCTTCCCAGCTCGTTGGACTAGGGGGCTTAAGAGCGCGGCAGGCCTCTACGTGCTCTTGGCGGCCTGCAAGCCGCTAGCGGATGAGGTGACCAAATACTCCCGGCAAGAGTTGGAGTCCTCAGGCCGGGTAAAGGTGGGCAAGGGTGTCTTTCACTCCGAAAAACGGAGCGCCTGATCTTCCCACAGTGCAGGTTAGGTGGTTAGGTGGAAATGCCAAAACGATTACTCACTTTGAACTAGGTGCAACAACGTGCCATGCGACACGCAGCAACGTATGCAGCGACGTGCTTCCTTGAACGTGTGGCGGGTTTGCAAAATCAACCCTTAGCAATCCAACCACGCCTTGTTGTCACGTCCAAACAGAGATGTGGCCCGCAAGATGACTGTGTGTTGCGTAGTTGTTTATATTCAGAAACTGGCAATTGCTCTTAGGCGAGGCTCAAGTTCTTGTTCTTCAATGCTTACATGGCCGTCAACATGCAAACTCACATCTTACTTACCGCAAGGTGTGGGCGGCACATGTCGAGCGCTGATTTGCGATGAAGCTACTGACTTGTGGTGCTGCTGCTGCAGAGTGACAAGATGTCAGGGTTTCCCTTGAAGAGCATGTCTTTGATCCGACACCAATTGGTCTTGGCGAGGCAGCGTCAAAATACCCAAATGTCTTAAATTGTATTTTGACCCTGGAAATGTGTTTCCCAACAACCCCTCCAAGGTTGGGTTCTCGTTTAGTTGTCTAACCGGAAGTGACTAAGTGTACCATGTTTGCAGCATGCCGTGTAAACGCCACTGGCCGGGAAATGGCCGAAAAGGCGGCCGGCCGGCTGAATTGCCGGCAAGAATGGGACCGGTCTCAAGTGTGCCGAGTTTACCGCATACCGCAGGGCCGAGTTTACCGCATAGCCGCGACGAACCTTGACTGTCAGTGACTGTGCCGGCTGAATTGCAACCAGCGCCAAGGTGACGGGAGGTGCTGGAGGCCGCGTGCCGGTGGGATTTGATCCACAGAGGCGCAGCGACAACGAGGCGCGGTCGTCCGAGCGCCGGTGGGGCTTGGCTCCAGGAAAGCAGCGAGAATGAGTTGGGGTCATCCGTGTGCCAGTGGGATTTGGCTTGGCGGAGGCGGCAAGGATGGAGGTGACGGCGGCGTGCGCCGGTGGGATTTGCTTCTGCGGATGCAACCAGCGCCGAGGTGACGGGAGGTGCTGGAGGCCGCGTGGCGCTGGGATTTGGTCCACAGAGGCGCAGCGATACCGAGGCGCGTGCGTTCGTGTGCCGGTAGGATTTGGCTCCAGGCACGCAGCGAGAGTGAGCTGGGGTCATCCGTGTGCCGGTGGGATTTTGCTTGGCGGAGGCGGCAAGGATGGAGGTGACGGCGGCGTGTGCCGGTGGGATTTGGTTCTGCAACCAGCGCCGAGGTGACGGGAGGTGCTGGAGGCCGCGTGCCGCTGGGATTTGGTCCACAGAGGGGAAGCGATACGGAGGCGCGGGAGTTAGTGTGCGGGTAGGATTTGGCTCCAGGAAAGTGCCGGTGGGATTTGGCTTGGCGGAGGCGGCAAGGATGGAGGTGACGGCGGCGTGTGCGGGGATTTGCTGCTGCGGAGGCAACCAGCGCCGAGGTGACGGGAGGTGCTGGAGGCCGCGTGCCGGTGGGATTTGGTCCACAGAGGCGCAGCGATAAGGCGCGGTCGTCCGTGCACCGGTGCGATTTCGCAGCGAGAACGAGCTGGGGTCAGCCGTATGCCGGTGGGATTTGGCTTGGCAGGGGCGGCAAGGATGGAGGTGTGCTGGTGCTGCGGATGCAACCAGCGCCGAGGTGACGGGAGGTGCTGGGGGCCGCGTGCCGGTGGGATTTGGTCCACAGAGGAGCAGCGATAACGAGGTGCGGGTGTCCGTGTGCCGGTGGAATTTGGCTTCAGGAAAGCAGCGAGATGGCGGAGGCGGCAAGCATGGAGGTCACGGCGGCAGAGTGTGCACCCAACTGGTGCTCTTTTGGCGGAGCGGCAGGATCGGGCAAGCCTGTTCGCGCCGCGCGCGCTTGCTTTTCGATGCGTTTCACATAACAGGGAAAGGCGCGCGTGCGGCGCGCGAGCAGGCCGCCGTCCCCGCTGAACCACCTTCTAGCCCAAAAACATTGCAAGAAAAATTAGAAGGAGCAAACCAGAATGCTGTTCGCTGACAGTCATTCACAAATATTTGTTCGCATCTTGGTTTTTGGGTTCCCCGGCTCTCCTTGTTTTTTTTGGGGTATTTGCCCTTGGCATCGGGTATGCGTCACATCGCCCGCGTCCGAAACATCCCCTGCGAGGCGAGTGGCAAGCGCTGGGCCTGGTGGCCTTCCGCAACAACGTCCGCGAGGAGAGCGGCGCGGTGCTCTCGGAGCTCCGGGCCGCCGACATCGGCACAGCGCTCAGCTTCGGGAGATTTTTTGGGTCGAGTTTTTCGGGCGGGGTGAGTGAGGGACATGGACATGGAACATATGGTGAAGTGAGTTTCATGGTTGTTGTTGAAAAACATTTTACATTTTGGCTGGTTGCGGGTTAGTGGTTGAAAATCCACACTTAACTGCTACAGTTTGAATTGTTGCCCCCCTTCCAACGTCAAGCAAGGAATAGACATGAATTGGTCCATGCCCAGGGTTTGAAAGCAGCTTCACAGCCAGGCAGCTTGACTAGAGGCTTGTGATTTTTGCGGAGGTTGACTCATTGAGCGAAGGTGGATGAGGTTCCCCAGCCACTCAGCCACGGGCAAGCCCATCTTACCAGGGAAGCTCAAGCAAGCGGCTGGCCGTTCCTGGGTGAGCGTGACTTCATAGCCCATGTGGAAATTGGGCGAGGGGTACCGACCTTGCAAGCCAATGTGCAAGTTGTGAGAGGTTTTTTGTTTCTTGCTCCAAAGCAACCAGCAATCCAAGAGCATCCTGAAGTGGTCAAGTGGATTTCAGGTGGTTCGCGGGCTGCGGCGGGGGTTGTGCCGAGGTGCAGTGATGGTCTCAGGGGACTCACACCAGACAGCTGCTGCCATCGCAGGGGAGCTGGGCATCCTTTCCAAGCAGGTCCTGCTCACAAAGGTCACAGGCAGCCAGGGTGTGCACGCAAGACAAATCTCAGTTGTTGTTGGCAACCATTTGCAGTCATGGCCCAGAAGGTGATCGCCTTTTAGTTCTTGGTCCTTAAGGGGCAAGTGAGGAAAGAAAGAGAGAGAGACAGAGAGAGAGAGAGAGAGAGAGAGAGAGAGAGAGAGAGAGAGAGAGAGAGAGATAGAAAGGGAGAGAAACGGGAGAGACAGAAATTGAGAGAGCGAGTGACCAATCCGGTGTAGCCTGCGCACAGGACAGAAAGCGAGCTTGCAAGGTGCTTTTTGGTTGTGACTCCCGCGTGCCTTGCGTCAAATCGTGGCGTGCGCTGAACGGCAGGCGACGGCGTTCAGTGGGTGGATTTGGCAACAGAGGCACGCGACGTCCATTTTGGTTGAAACAGGTTGGATTCTCCGAGCTGGGCACAAAAAGTTATACTTTTTGGAGAGGGGTCAACTGCAACCAAGTTTGGGCTGAAACATAGTCAAACCTCTCTTCAATGTGTGTGTGTGAACCCCTTTGTGAGGAAGCTCGCGTTGTGCTCGCTGTATGGGGCAGAGGGCAACAGCCCTTGAGAATTGTGAGTGAGTCAGGTCTGTGATACGAGGAAATCCCCTGTTTATATGGGGCTTTGGTCTTTGGGAGGCCCTTACTCCAGCCGGTAGCTTCCGCAGGCGCAGGGGGATCCAAGCGATGATGTGGAGCTGGCCAGGGCCCAAGGAATGTAAGGGTGACCCCGGAAGTCAAACCCCTGTTTATTGATATGGGGGTGTTCATGGGTGTTCCATGGTGTTCCTGGTTTTAGTGGAGGTTGAGACAATTTTTGGAGGAGCAAACCAGCCCCATATCAATCAACTGGTTGGTTGAGTCTTCGGGTCAACAGTACCGAAGCCGCTTCGGCAAGGCGATCGCGGCCAAACTCTCAGGTGGTTGCGGGTGAAGCCTGGGAGCTGTTGAAGGACCAAGAGATGCCTTGGCTTCCAAAGGCCAAGGCAGGTCGCCGGGGATTTGTTTGGCAATCCGGAGGTCGGATGTCAAGCATGGCCCCCCAAGTGTGGTTTTGTTTGCTCGTGGCTGGGAAAGAGCGTGGCTTGCTTTAGCTCACGAAATCCTAGCCTCCAGTGTTTGAAATGGAGTGACAAGGACCATTGCCCTTCCCTGATCCAAAACGAAACCTTAGATGTTTTGGGTCGGGATCTCGGGTCATGCATCATAATGCAACTATCCCACAACCTGCCTCAGCCAACTGACAGCATGTGGTAGCCACTGCCTGAGCACCTCCTGACGGGATGCTCGATCACGGCTGCCATCAGACTAGCAAACTCGCTTTCGGATGCTTTCGGACCTGAAATGTTCAGGTGGGTACGGACCACACTGCTGAGCAATGTTTTGCATGTCCAACTCACTAGTGTTTGCTCTCTTCTGAAGCAGGATGTGCGTGTGTGTGTGTGTGTGTGTTGCGGTTGTCTTGTTTCTTCCTTGATTGCTTGTGTGCTTGTTTATTTGTTTGTCCGTCTTGCCTGTCTGTTTGTTTGTCTTTCGGTTGGGTTTGGTTTGGTTTGGTTGTTTGTGCTTGCTTGCTTGCTTGCTTGCTTGCTTGCTTGCTTGCTTGCTTGCTTGCTTGCTTGCTTGCTTGCTTGCTTGCTTGCTTGCCTTGCTTGCTTGCTTGCTTGCTTGCTTGCTTGCTTGCTTGCTTGCTTGCTTGCTTGCTTGCTTGCTTGCTTGTTTGTTTGTTTGTTTGTTTGTTTGTTTGTTTGTTTGTTTGTTTGTTTGTTTGTGTGTGTGTGTCTTGGTTTGTGTGCGTGTTGCATTGCACTGTTCTGTGTTGTTGTGGTTGTGGCTTGTGGTTCGTGTCGGTGTGTCATTGCTCTGTTTTGTTGTGTTTCATTGTGTTGTGCTGGGTTGTTGTTTGTAAGTTTGCTTAGTTTGTTTGCTTGCTTGCTTACTTGCTTGTCTGTTTGATTGCTTGTTTGTATCAATCCTGTGGTTGTGCGTTTGTGTGTTGCGGTTTGTGGTTATTTGTTTGGTGTGTGTGTGGGGGGCGGGGGGCATGCGAGACTTTGTAAGCAAACTTGCCGAACAATCATGCATCGGCGTGCAGGCCTCCCCTGTGCTTCAGCCGGGTCGAGCTGGTCATGCCTATTGTCAGACCTGTTTGGTTTACAACAAAAAAATGAGTTCTCTTTTATGAAAGGGCTTTTGCCTAATTCAGACTTTTGTGGCTGCTTGGAGGTTTGCTTGAATAGAAAGTTGTTTTGTCGGAAAAACACTCCGAGCATAAAAAGAAGAGCTAGGAATCCTGTTGGTGAAGTGGTCCCCAAATCGTCGATCTTTAGAATAACCCTTTTTCTACACAAGCAAAGTCGCCCTGATTCTATTTAATCTGACTGTTTTTGGTGCGCTTTAATGTCAAGCTTTGTGGCGGTGGGTGGTGAAAAAGCAAAGTCTTGGCACTGGCAATGCCCAGCTAAGCACTGGGAATCAGAGAGTATGTCTTGGCAATACCTAATTGAGCACTGGGAATCTGAGAGTAAGTCTTTGCAACGCTAAATTTGCAGTTCTAAAACAAGTACACGGAATCTGAGATCAAGTCTTGGGAAAGCTAAGTTTGGAATTGGCAATACTAAATGAAGTCTGAGGAAATCTGCGAGTAAGTCTTCGCAGTTCTACATGAATTACGAGGAATCTGAGATCAAGTGCTGGGAATACCAAATATTTTTGAATTGGCAAGATTAGATTAAGCATTGGCACTGTCTAGGGGGATACGGGGGATCATATTCAAGCAGACGCTACATTACTTGAAGTGGACCAAGTCAGCCTCTAGGGGTCGACCTGGCTGCAAAGTGTTGTCATGCACACCATCGTCAAGGGGGTTCTTGCTGATTTGGGAACTTCTCACCTCTATGAATTGAGGTTCTGAAGTGTTGGCCAGCCGCAATCTTGACGTTTGCGAAGTTTTGACCATGCGTGGCCGCGTGGCGCACAGGTCTTTGGGCGAGTTTCTCCAGCGCAGAAGGTGGAAATTGTCCAGGCCGGGGTGCCGAAAGCCCACGCTGGCAATCGCAGGCTCGCCTAGACCTGGGGTCATTTTGCAGATTTTTCTGGGGTCCAAGTCGGAAATTGGGGGGCGGCCCTTTACTAAAGACTTGGATCGCCGTGAAACCACGGGGCCTGTAGGTTCGCCGACTCATTCGCCGACCATGCCGCCCATTCGGCGTTTCAGCTTTGAGGCCTTCATCCGCCTGGGCCACACGGCCATGTTCGTGGGGGACGGGGGCAACGACAGCGGAGCTCTGCGTGCGGCGCATGTCAGCTTGGCACTCACGGAGGCCACGCATGAAAGCTCTTTGGCCGCAAGTTGGCTCAGTGGCGCTTTCCTTTTGTTTGTTTGTTGCTTTGTGTGTGTGTGTGTGTGTTTTTCTGTTTCGCGGTGGTCATCATTTCAAAGCACGCTTGCGTGTTGCTGCTTGCTAGCAAGCCGCCTGGTTTGACCGGCAACTATTGCAACTCCCAAGTGTGAGAGGGTGGGCGAAGCCTGAGTCGCCCAAACCCCTGAAAAATTTCAAGTCGCTGAGCGTGTCGCTTATTTTTGTGCCTTTGCTCCCATCCGTGTCAGGATGTTTTCAGGGTGGTGGGATTATGGGGCTTATCCGCACTTCTGTGACCCAAAGGAATCCCCTCTCAAAAATTGGGGGGAGGGGGGGGGTAGTCTTTGGGAGGCCCTTTTTGTTGTATCACGGAAGTGGATTCCATTTCCCTTGCTTGCTGTCAGGTTCAGTTATCGCGCATTTCAATACCACCACCAAGACACCAACAGCTGCCTCTTAGACAGTACAGCGCGGGGAATGTGATGAGTGGGCGGAAGCGCAACACAAGACCGAATTGATCCAGATTGGCTTGCCGTAGGCCATGTGCTTTGACACGCCTTTGCTGCTGGCCATTTTCTTTTGAAAGTCGGGAACCTACAGAGAAGCCCTTGATTGACTAGGAAGAACGCGAAGGTGTAGTTGTTTCGACAGGCCTGCTGCATGCACTTATAGTGAGAGTTTGCTGATCGAAGAACTGCAGTGCACGTGGCCACCTTTCGACTCCTTCGTGGTGTTGTTGATGAGGGTGGATTGATTGCTTTGAAGAGCAAGACCAAAGGGCAGGCCACGACTTTGCTCTTGCCATGTGGAACTCTCCAAATCACGAAAGCTAGCTTTAGCTAGCTGAAGTTTCTCCTTGCGTAAGCAAGGTAAGGGGCTCAAATGCCGAAAGATTGATTTTTTCAATTATTTGAGCCGAAAAGATTGAAAAACATCAATTATTTAGACCCCCCCCCCCCTCCCCCCCCCCCGGTCTCAGGCTCGATTCCTCCCTGGTCCATCCCCCCCCCCCCGGGCAGTGGCTCAGTGTTCAGCAGTCTCGGTTTGCCCGTTTTGGACTTGGTGCTACGAACTTTTACATGTTCCACCGATTCAGCTTGTTCATTTGAGACCTCAGTCTTCTCGGTAAACCACCTCGCAAGAATCTTTGCACACGCTGCATGCAGAACCCAGAGGTGCTTTAAGACAGCTTCTGACGCCTCTCGTTGCTTTCATTTTTCAAGGTTTGCCACGCCACCATGTGCGTTTGCGTGTCGCATCCTACGAATCTTGCTGGGCCTCTCGTTGTACACAAGCTACCTATGAATCCACTCTGTCACCGACCCATCTCATGCAACAACTGCTAGCTTTCGTTCACCCGCTCCTCAAGTGATTGATAGTATGCTCGCCCTGTTGGGAGCAAGCGGCGCATGGTACAAATTGGTTGACACATCACGTATAATGCTGTCTGATTCGCCAGGTGCATGTGCGGGGTGTAACTCCACTCCGGGCGGCACCTGAACTTCCATGTGCTTAAGAACATGTTGTTATTTTCCCCTATTGGTTTTGGGAATCTAAATGTTTTCTTCCATGGGACGTAAGCGCATGGCGCTGAATGTTGCTGCATTGCTCAGCTGACCACTGGCGGCGCTGTACTGGAGGGTTCTGCAACACCTTCCCAGTTGTTCAGTGGCATCCTTGTACCCCTTTTGGTTCCAGTTGGGCTCACGCGGAGAAGGACCAGCCTTAGAACAGGCTGCAGTCCCTATGACTTCTTTTGCGCCCCAGGTCCTGCACGTCCTGCGAGAAGGCCGCGCTGCCTTGTCGAACAGCCTTAGCTGCTTCTTGGCCGATTCAATAGTGAAGCTATTGATTGCACATGTGCATGGCACCCACAGGTAGGTTGGTACGTAAATGCATGCATGTAAATTGGGGGTATGGCCCAAGGCTACACAAGTAGAAGTAGATGACCTTGGCCCTCGACCAAATGCGCAGTTGGCTTGAACTTTTCCAATGGGTGGCTGGCAGAAAGCGGTGTTGGTGGCACCAGGGGATTCTCTGTCTCCAGGGCAAGGGCAGGGAGAAGACGCTGAGAATCCCATGCGCACAGCCCCTGAGAGCAAGCCAAGACAGGGCAAGCTGGGAATGACGTCCGTTCAAGACATCTTGCCCAGCGTGCAGGTTTCTTCTTCCTCTTCCACTACGGGCTTTTCATGACCTGCACCAAAGTCTTGCTGGGGATGCTCACTGCCGCCCGGAAGCTTCAAGCTGAGTGTGGCCACGCCATTTTTGCATCCCAGTTCGCAGAACTCAGCTTCGAGGTTGCTCGGGTTTTTGACCCCTCCCAAACAGGTTCTAGTCGGTGGCATTTCGGTTTCTCTTCTGCTAGGTTGGATCTTTAGGCTTCAACTTTTGGGTTGCTTTCTTGGGTTTTCCTTTCAAGCTGCAAAAAGCTCTTCACTTCTTGCTGGGGGATCTACGGCACCCCAGGCTTGCAGGGGCGCACGCTCGATTCAGGGCTAGGCTCATGTGAGCTGAGGAGAGGCTTCCGGTTCCGCTGGCCTGGGCAGCCTGGCATATCGCTCCTCGCCATGGCCATCGTTGGGCGCGCCGTTGGGCCACGGAGCTTTAGACTTTGAGAACTTTTTTGGTTGGAGTCAAGGGGTTTTGTGTTCCATGAAACCGGCAAGAAGTCGACTTTTTGCAGAGGGGTCAACAGGTCAACAGCAACCAAGGTTGGCACCCTTGGCAAAGGACTGAAGGAACACACTGAGCGGGCGACGTGCACTTGCGACAACTCATGAGGATGTCGAGGTTTGAGCTGATTACAGCCAGCTCTCATGCGAGACCGTGCGAGACTTGAGGTGCTGGTAGAGGGTCTCATCAACACGAGCCAGATCTATGCGTTGGTGCAGTCATCCGGGCGGAAGGAATTGGTGAAAGACCCTTGGACATACTAGTGTTTATGCTAGAGTTTCATGCGTTGAGGATCCGGCTGCAACAAAAGAAAGCTCAAGGATTGTGCCAGCCAAGTTTGGACCTCGTTTTGGTTTTGATGAGTTGCTGGATTGCACGAGTTGATGTCTCTCCTGATGTTTCAGAGTTTTGACGTCAATGCAACTCCAATTCAGCATTTGGTAGCCGTTTTCTGAGGAGAAGCCACCTTGGTCCCTGTTTTGTGCGTTTGGTGCTTGGCTGCATTGAGTTTTGCCACGCGGCTCTCCCTGGAGGAAAACCCTTCGTCCCTCATGCTGCGTTTGCTTCTGACACAAGCTGTTTTGGCCATGTGTTTTCTCCGTTTTTCCACGTGCATTTCATTAGGTGGCGCCATTTGTCGGGGAGGGCTGCGGGTCGCGGGTCGAAATCAAAATAAATTTGAATCAGGGGTGTGAATGCCTTCCATTACCACCTAAGCAAAGCTGGGCTCACAGAAGACCCGCTTATGGACTTATTTGTGCGGCATCCCTTGATACAGGTTGCTTGGACCTCACCCCAAGCCATCCAACTCAAAATCTGCAAAGGACTTGTTAGCGGCATTTGTCCCGCATGAGCAAGAGCAGGGGAGCTGGATTGGGGGGGGATTCTTGGCTCAGGCATGTGGTCCATTTTTGGTCCCTTGGCCGTGAACCTCGTCTTTTTATACGGCCTGACCTACCAGCTGGTGCAGCAGCCCTGGTATATCAAGTGGGTGACCTGGACTCACAGGGTGGGAACCGCTCGGAAGTGTTCTCAAACATGGTTGTTGTTGGGAAACATTGGAAACATGTTTGCTGATTGTTGGTTTAGTGGTTGAACTCCCCACCTACCTGCTAAAAATTAAATGTTTGCTGCCTTTCCAACGTCAGCCAAGCAAAGGGCTTGGCGGCTTCCGAATTGGGTGGAGTAATTCGCTTTGGCATGCTCATGAGCACCAGCAAAAGGCTTTCGGGTCAGATCTCCAGCAAATGATTTCATGGCCTGTGATACCTAGATCTTCTTTCGGCAGAACTTGCCGCCGAAATGCTTGGCGGCGTGCAAAGAAACGCCGATGTCAAAAAACCGCCGGCGCGGAGCAAAAGCCCCGAAATGTAAGAAGCAACGCTGCACAATTAGATTAATGCGCCGATTTCCCATCACACGTTCTGGAAAGGAAGCGCTTTGCATCAAAAACGCCGACAAGTGACAAAAGCGCCAAAGTGCAAGACAAACACCTTTTTGCAAACAACAAAAGGTTCAGCCGATTCGAATATCCAAGTATGGAAGAGAGCCACAAAGTTCAATGTTTGGCTACAAGTCTTTCATGCATGGAGCGTGCGTGACATGCGATGGGAAGTTTCTCATCAGCCACCCGAGTCCGAAAGGAAAAAGGTGCAAAAGTGTCGCTTTCAGGACGGAGTCAAGGTGGGTGTGCAGCCGCACGAGATGCAGGCCCAGGCAGATAACTACGCCGCTTTGGCAGCCTTACTCCTCGAACGCGGACCCACGACATGCAAGCACGTTCTGGCATGCACGGTGTTTTCGACCGAACTTGACCATGACACTGCTGTGAAGAGAGTATAACTCCTGGTCGGGAGCCCTTGATCCCAAAGGAGGGTGGTTCTACAAGGGCCAGCGGGCCTTTTGCATGCAGGGGTGTTGCTTTCGGATTTGGGGCCAACTGGAACCCGAGGAAATGGAGACCATCTATTTCGCTTTCTGCTTTGGCGTCATTGCGTGTGGCTTCTGCAACGGCTTCGGCGGGAAATTCAAGCAGCCAGTGCCACTCAGCACAATTCGGCCTAGGCCTGGACCAGGGATCCGATCCGATCAGTTCAACAGGCCCTTGTATAGGAAACAGGTTCTGCATCTTGGCATCAACTCAGCTTTTAGGGGAAGTCCTTACGTTTGCTCAAGGCAGAGGATTGATTGAATTTGCGGCACTCTTCTTGAACTGAGCTTGGTAATGGAGGTTAGTTCCTTGGAGACATTTGGAGACGCTTTATGGTACGGAATGGGTATGAGTGGGTGAGATATGCCTGGAAGAAGATATGCCGCCCGGTGCGATGAAGCATTCCCAGCAAAAAGACATGTTTTTCGCAGGGTGCCAGGAATGGTCCCCCGGCTTTGCCCGGCACAAGCACATGTTCAGAAGCGCAATTGACATAAATACGTGGGGTGGGCCAGGAGGGTCTTTGACAATGATGGTGGGGACGAGGTGGCTGCAATCAAGTGTTGGTAGGCGCTAGTGCTTGCACAGACCCGGCGGCAAAGGGTGCAGCACCTGGAGAAGAGAGATTCGAAGGGGGCAGTTGAAATGAGAGGGCTGTTCATCGTTGTTGTTGCGGAGCGCTTTACATTTTTTATTATTGTGGTTTAGTGGGAAATCCCCACTTAACTGCTAAATTTGAAATGTTTGCTCCCCTTCCAACGTCAACCAAGTGTTGGTTCACCGAGGTATGAGAACTGGACGGCAATGCTGGCCTTGGCATTCTTCACTGCGGTTGCCTGGCACGACCTGTCCCTCACGGCTGGTTGGATGGTCCGAGTTTTTCAGTCAGCGAGCGGGCACGTCAGTGGTTTAGAGGAGCGTGCGGAAACAAACAGAAAGGGCAGAGAGGAGAGAGAGAGAGAGAGAGAGAGAGAGAGAGAGAGAGAGAGAGAGAGAGAGAGAGAGAGAGAGAGAGAGAGAGAGAGAGAGAGAGATTCGCCTGCATGCCAAGGTTCTACTGGCCATACTATGGATGGAACCTCAGTGCGGCGCGTTGCATGCACGTCTTGCGCGTAGACTTTTGCATCTTGCCGGTAAGGACCAGCCGCAACGCGTTTTGCTGTTTGTTCCGCAGCTCGGCTGCCAGAGTGCGGGCAAGTCCAAGACCTCAAACCTTGAGTGGTTTTAGCTTTTTCGTTGGTTGAGTGCTTGGGTGTCCAACCAACTAAACATAGTTGTCGTTGGCAAACATGTTACATGCTTGCTTATTGTGCTTTAGTGGTTGAAAGCTCCACTTGACTGCTAAAAATCATGTTTGTTGCTCCCCTTGCAACGTCAACCAAGTAGAAGTCCACAGCTTTTTTAGCAGATCTGCAAACGGGCCGAGGCTTCAATTGCGACCAAGCCACGGTACTGCAGCTCCATGGGCTGTGGCCCTGGCTTCAAGTGGGCGCAGGCGCGACCTTGTTGGGGTGACCGGAAAGCCTTCGGAGTCGATTGCTTTCGGTCGCTCGGATTTGTTGGTCAATCAGTGGTTTCGTAATGGTCTTGACCAAAAAGTCAAAGCTTTAAAAACCTTGTTTGTTTGTTTTTTTCAGTCGCTCCGAGCAGTCGGAGGTGGTGTTTCTCTAAGGTTCTTGAAAAGGTTCTTTTAAAGCGCTGTGTGTTTTAAGGAAAATTGCGGGGGGTTCATTCTCTTGGACGCAGCTCAGCCATCGGCTTTCGGCAGGAGACGGCACCAGCTTCCGCGGCATGGGCCCAGACTCAGGTGCCAGCATCCACTGGCGAGTGGGAACTGTGTCGGCAGCATCGACTTGTGGCAGGGCTGAAAGCCATTTCTAGAAACTCAGAAGTTCGCTTGGCCTTTTCCACGCCAACATGCAAATGGTTTGGCTAACTTCGGAATCCCAACCAACGGGGTTGTGAGATGTCAACCCTCGCCCTTTGCCTCTGGACTCTTCTTCGAATTTGGCACGCTCGAGCTGCGTCAAAGCTGAGCCGGCAGGGAAGAAGGGTCCAGCAGGCGCCTTGTTGATCCCCACCCGCTGAACGGGGGAGCGGGGATTTCAGCCCCTGGAGATTTGCATGTCCAATTTCCCTTCTATGGGGAAGTGAGGAAATGGAGTTGGGGGACCTCCCCGCCCCCCGCGCCCTCAAGGTAGGGGGATGTGTTTGGGATTTTATGCCAGCCCGTGCCCCCCCTCCCTCCGTAGGCAATGTTCTTCCTCCGGCCTGGCGCATGACCCTGACCGCAGCCGCAGCAGCAGCCTTGGCGCAACTTGGATATGTTCAACGTCAGATGGAGATGGCTGACTTCAGAAAAATCGGCCATGATGTGCTTGTTTGCTGTTGTTGTTGCTTTCTGCTCCTGTCAAGAGCGAACACCTGCTGCTGTCTCATTTGCATGTGTCGCGCTGTTGCTGCAACTTCCGACTCACTCAAACTTTGGTGCGTACGTGTGGGGCAACTGCAGCACCTGCAGGGAACCGTCTTCAAACGACATTCATGACATCCCGGGTGCCGGTGTGAAACCGTCAATCGCAGGCTCGCGATATGTCAATCGGCCTTTGCTGTGTGGTTGGCTGTCAGCGCATAGCAGCCATTTCGAGGTGTTATGTGGCCCTGAGCCCTGCGGAAAGAAGGTGACACAGGCAAGACTCCATGCCTTTACCCCTGAGTGTGACCTGGAGTGGCTGGGTTTCTCACACCCTGACTCAGGCTGCATTGCGCTGTGCGAAAGTGCATCGACCACTTTGTGAATTGAGACTCCAGAGCGCGGCGGTAGCTTGAGATGAACACATGGAGTGATCTTAAAAAAGGGTCCTTTGGATCCTTGAAGATAAATAATGCGAGGTTGATGGTGCAGCAAGAGTTTGTGAGATCTGCTTCGTCGCCCAGCCGCTGTGCACACTTCACACCTGACCTCAGGCTTGTTTGCCTGCAACTGAGGACGATCGTTTGTGCAACGTCAGATTCCTTTCTTGGAAACCGGGTGTCAGTTTTTGGCCGGGTTGGGAAATCATAAGTGTCTCAGCCAAGGTTCATGTTGTTTGTTTCCGCTTGCCAGGCCGTTTCAGCCTCCAGTCTCTACGAACTCGAAGCGCAAGTATCAGGGGGGCCATCGGACGTAGCGCAACATCGAAAGAACAAAAAGTCGAGACGGACAGACAGACTCACCCCACACGAATCACCGAAAGTGCCCGCAAACCCTTGTTTTTCATCAACTGGCTTTGACAACAACCGAAAACCGCATTTTTCCCGGCCGCTGGGCCTGCAGCGAGCACGCAAAAGGCAGGCTGCGTTGCCTTTTGGCCGCACTTTGGCTGGCGCCGCCTCTGCTAGGCCCAGGGATGCGAATAGGCAACTTGTAAGTCTTCAGCTTCGTTCGCCCGTACCAGCAACACTAGTAGAATCTGGGGCCGGAAAAAAGGCGGCCTGGTTTGCCAACTTAAACCATCCAGCAAAAGTGTGTGCTCATGTTTGTGGGCGAGGTCAGGCTAAGGAAAACCCGCGTTATCCCCCTCGCTGACCCCGCATCCCATCTCAGGCAGATTCACCTGCTTCCATTGGCAAATTGGTGACTGGTCAAACGTGAGATGCCAAGACATCAATCATGTTGAAGTTGATTCGGCGGAGCCTGCTCAGAGGGACCCCCTAAATGTCCTGTCTGAACGGGAACCACCCCCGAGTAGCTTCCATGAGTGAATCATTGCCTTCATTGCAATCTTTATCCATGTAGGGGTGGCCTTGCTCACGACAGCCTATGTTGCTTCGCCTGTTCCCAAGAAAGCGCACGGGACCAGATCTTGCGAGCGAGTGAACACAAAAGGCCAGTGATAAAACACTGAACATGAAGCAAAGGTCTGAAACTGAGCAAATCTATTCAAATTGTTATTAGTTGATACTATTTGATAATCATTCATATTGCAGGCAACAAAAAGTAGCAGAACAGGGGACCCTGGTAGTGCGCATGTTGCTCGTTTTGAGGCTTGCAGTTTACTCATGGGTCAGCCATGTCGGTTGCACTTGATCTAACACGAACAGAGGAAACATCTTGAGGAAACGAGAAAAAACAAAAAAAAACTCGAGGAAAACCAAAAAAAACGCGAAAACAAAAAAGTCGTTTAGAAACTCTTTGGAGCACAACCCATGTTGAAAGAGTTCTGGAAACCTGTTGTTTTCTTTCTCGAGTTGTTTTTTTTGTTTTCTCGAGGTGCTATTCGCGTTTGTTGGTTTTCTCGAGTGTTTTTTTTTTCTCGAGTTGTGTTTGTTGGGTGTCCTCGAGTTTTTTTGGGTTTCTCAAGGCTTTATTGTTGTTTGCGGGGTTCCTCGAGTTTAATCCACGTATAGGGGGGCCGTCCGTAATTGCATGTCTAAAACTTATGAACAGCGACAACTTGTTGAACCGCGCGATTGGTAAAACTCAAGCCGCGGTTGGCCGGCGATTGGACCGCGAACGGGCAACAAAATTATCATGAATATAGACGTTGCATGTTGCCGACGCATGTCTCGTTCATTTTGACTGCGCGGTCTCGCGCAAAAGTTCCCTCTGGAATCATTTCGTCTGCGCAGGCCCAGACATTGCTTTCCAAATCTGATTGCTAGCAAGGGCTGGAAGCTGCAAACCAAAGTTTCGCCGCCGAATTCCGCGATTGGACGGCGATTGGACGGCTTCCACCAGTGAGCGCCTGCCCATCCGAGCTTCCTGTTTCCAGGTATGGATGGAGGAAGGCCAGCGCTTGAGATAAGACGGCCAAACGTGAAACAGAAACAGCAGCGATGCCCAACATTGCTCCGCGATTGGAATTTGTGGGACCGCGATTGGATCGCGATTGGCCGGCGATTGGGAGGTTCCCAGGCAAAGTAATTTTGGATATGATGGGTCCTCCTCTGTTCTTGGCTGTTGTGTATGGCTCATTTCGTTACACAACGAACCTAGAGAAAGCCAAAGAAAAAAGAACATGATTTAGAAACTCTTTGTTGCACAAACCATGTTGAAAGAGTTCTGGACACATGTGTCATTGCTTTTGTTTGGTTTCCTTGAGTCTTTTGTTGGGTTTTTCGAGGTTGGTTTGGTGGTTGTTTGTGTTTTTTGTGTGTTTTTGTCCGGTTTTCTCGAGGTTGTTTTGGTTTTCTGTGCCTATGATGGGTCTGCATTTGTTCTGCTTGTCTTTCCTTATTAGATTCTATTCATTATCCAGTTGAATTCTACTTCAAGTCCTACTTGCAAGGGACTTCCTAACTCAAGTCATTTCATAATCCGAACCCTAATTAATTTGTTTGAAGCAATGAAGTGTAAGTAGTCTATTTAAACTAGCTCGAAGAAACAACCAGCTAGTCTATGCTTACCAGAGTCTATCTAAATTATAATGAATTCTAATCAAAGTTCTAGATACTTGGAAAGTAGTCCTATTTAAAATGTGCTTCAAAAGATGTAATTGAGTTACTCAGAAAGAAACAACCAGCTTGTATTTCCTTGCAAGCTTCTATCTATTTGTGATTGCTCAAACAGTATAATTAAGTCTGGGAAGGTAGTTCCTACTTAGACTTGGAAGGAATTTCTGTTAAATATCGAATTCAACATATTAAGTCCAATAAAGTCTAGTCGAACTCATTTGTGCCAATACAAAATCCGATTTAGCAGCCGAACCAGAATACGAGTTGTAATTAAACTACAATTGAAATCTTGTTTGAAAGAGAAGTACTATTTAGCATCTATTGTAAAAATGAAGTGAATTCTGTCCGAAATCTCATTTAAATTAAAAGCCTTGAAATCTAAAACTTGCAAACGAATTAGAACATAATTTGCATTCCTCGTGGGTTTTACTGGTGTTTCAGTCCTTTTGATGCAGCTTGAACAAAAGAAGAAACACCAAGCTTGTTTCTCCTTGTTTCTATATGAGTCCCATTTTAATTCCCACTTGGAAGGGGAAGCCCTATGTTGGTTCTAATTCAATGTAATTAGAGTATGATTTAAACTTCAAGCGTGGCAATTTAAAGCTTGTAAACCACTAGATCTGAAATCGCATTGCCCTTGCGCTCTTGGTTGTTGACTCCCTTTAAGGGACAGGCAAATTAGCGCAAACAACCAGCTTGTCTTCCATACTGCAATCAGTTTGAGTTCTATTTCAACCCCAATGCTAAACAGGACCGAAAGAAAGGTGCTAAGATAGTTGCAGCTGCTCTGGCTTGAATCAGTAGCAGCATGATAGAGAATCGAAAGTAGAGGGCCCCGTTGGTTGACTGATTTCAGAAATCGCAGCTACAAACACTCTTCAGCAAGGCAACCGCGCACCTTTCTCAAGAAATCAAACCTCAAAGTCACAGAAAAGTGCACTACCACAGTCCCCCAGTCTCAAAACGGATGGCTACACACACACCCTCCCGGATCACTGCCCTGCGCAAAGCTGTTTGGGGGTTGCTGCAGAATTCAATGGCTAAAGAATCTGTTGAAAGTGAAAACCTGGGGGGAGAACTGTAACACAATGTTTGTATGGCACCGTTCGCTTGACATCCCAAGCCCAGCTGGTGAGACGACGTGGCCCAGGTGGATGGGCGTTTCCTGTTCCGCTTGCGCAGAGGATGCAGAGAGCCCAAAAGCCAAGGCGCGCCTGGGTGGCTTGGCAATGCGTGGGGTCTGGTCGAGTATGTCGTTCTTGTTTGTGCCGATGTCATGTTGCATATCTGCGGCCAACTGATTTTAGAGGTTTTCTCGAATCCGTAGCGAAGGAATCCCGTTTATAGTCTGGGGGTCTGGGGGCTGGACACTTGTTCGCTTCGTCCCTAAAAGTCGAATCACGATGGATTTGCAACGCAAACGTGAAACCTCACGAAACACTGCGCGTGCGCAACGAAACGACACCGAACATGCCAACAGCTACGATTCCTGCACAGGGCCAACGAAAACAACGTTCGACGCTTTCCCAAATGGTACGGAATTTCGGACCCTCCCGCGACGACACCGCAACGAGCCGACGACGAGCCGACCGCGTGCAAGGTGCACAACGCGTTACCATGTTGGTCTTGTGGAGCTACGCTGCGCAGCGGAGAATACAGGCGCTACTGCTGCTTGTCCACCACACACCGCTCACCAGCATCCAGGAGATCTCGCAAGCCACAAACGTCGGGAATCAGCGCCACATCCCGTGGCTCCAAACCAGAAAAGCAGACGCAGCTTCTTGGGCGCCGCCTTTCACAGGCCAGTTCAGGACCGCACTACAAAAGCCAAATGAAATTTTCGGCGCATCCATTTTTGTCCAAATCCAACCTCCATGGCCTAGCAGCTCACCAAGGATGGGGCCGCCTCTACGCTAAGCGTGAGAAGCAACGTTTACTGCATACCCTGAACTATTGCCGCTTGCGGGCAGCAGCAACACGCTGGCCAGGCCATTTAAACAAAAACGTGTAGATTTTTCTTGTTTGAAAATTCCCGAGCCTTCTCCCCTCTTTTTTCCTCTCTCCGCTCTCTTCTCTCTTCTCTCTTCTCTCTAGTCTCTTCTCTCCGCAGCAACAGTTGCTGCAACGATCTTGCTTGGCGCGGGCCTGAAAGACTAGGCCTTGGCATTTGTTGGCATCGACCGTGATTTGTCTGTGTTGTTTTGTGGCCGCCACACCGGCTGCAAGTGTTTTGTACCATGATTTGCCTTGCATTGATTCAGCCGGCTCGGAGCCGCGAATGAGATGCCTTTGGCCCCAACTGAGCGCAAAACGATTGCAGAGCCGACTGTGTCTCAAGCAGTTGCGTTGTGTACTTCGTTCATTGGA